CACACCAGCCACTCAGTGTGGACTGTCCATCACACCAGTCACTCAGTGTAGACTGTCCATCACACCAGCCACTCAGTGTGGACTGTCCATCACACCAGCCACTCAGTGTGGACTGTCTTTCATGGCAGCACCACACTGCCAGGTGCTCAGTTCTCTTCCAAACTTGCAGTAACTCCACATCAGTGGCAGGTAGGGGCATTAGTGATGGACCTGGATTCTCTGGGTGAAGACTCAAACAGTGTGTGACAGAGATGACTTGTGACAATAGTCACAGTGAGTCTTTGGGGGTTCCTTGGAGGGGAAGTACATTTCATGCAAGGAGGAACAGAAATGCTATGGTCAGAATGCCATTCTTGGATTCTCCTCTCAATGAGAAGTAGAGCCTATGTTTCCTCCCCTGGGTTGGGAACATGTGACTGTCTTCAGGTAGCAGAAGTGACTTTGTGTGACTTAGACTGGGTCACAAAAGGTCACACATCTTACTCCTGGTCCTCTTGAGCGCACACTTCCAGGGTGTCCCTCTAGAATCTTCTGGTGTGCTATGAGAACCCAGGTGCTATGGTTTGAATGCAGATTGTTCCCTAAGGGCTCATGTATTGAAAATTTGGTCCCAAGGGTGACAATGTTAAGGGATGGAGCCTAGGGGGAGATCACTCAGTACTAAGCCTTTGGAACAGATTGCATAGCTCTTCATAGGTCTTAGTGGGTTCCCACAGAATGGGTTGTTACAGAAGACCAAATCTGACCCCTCTTGGTGTCTGGATTGCTATGTGATCTCCCCACCCCCTCAAGCACTTCTGCCATTTGGAGACTATCTTTTAAGAGGTCCTCATCAGAGCCCAGTTATTGCCTCTGCCATGCCCTTGAACCTCCATAATATGAAGCTACAATACCTGTTTTCTTTATAATGGGAGTCATGTGTATTTTGTCATAGCAACATAAAATGAAGGGATACATCAAAGTATACGGAGAGGACAAGTATAGATGCTCTAGTGAGAAAGCCTAGCCTGTCCTTCAGTTTCCCCAGCCAGCATCAGATACATGGTGAAGAAGGTCTCCCTGGCGCAGCTCTTCTGGTTCCCGGCAGTTCCCGGCAGTCATTGCATTTTAGCCCCTAATATTACAGAGCAGAGCCACCTTGCTCGTGTCCTGTGAGAATCTTTAACTTGGAGAATCCAGGTACATGCCCACATGGCTGAGGTTCTGAGTGGTTTATTATGCAGCAGGATAAAATAGGAAAAGTCAGTTCTGGGGTTGTTTTCAAGTGTTCTGAGGACTATTTATCACTCTCATCGGCTCCTTCCACCCTGTCCCCGATGCCGCTTCTGGGTTTCCGAGTATTTTCTCCAGCACCTCCTTTCCAAATGAATCTGTCCCTTTTACGTCCCTCTCATACCCTACCAGGTGCAATTAACACAGATGAATTGACTCTTCACCATTCTGCCTGGCTATGTCCTCAGTCACATCCTCAAACTCATGAGGTGCCTTACAGCAGCGGTTATTACAGCGGTTATTACAGGCGTATTACAGCAGCGGTTAACTCTGGCATTTCTCTGCCACAAATAGAACAAAATAGATCTCCCTTCCTCTCCCTCCCTCCCCCTTCCCCATCCTCCTGCCCCTCCTTCCCACTCCCTCCCCCTCCTCCCTGCTGTTCTGCTTTCCCTCTCCTTGCCATGCTGGGGATGGAACCCAGGACCTTGCTCATGCCTGGGCAAACACCCTACTAGGTCACCTCTTTTGCAGCTTTCAAAGACAGTTTCTCCCCCCATTGCCTTTTCAGCCTCCTTCAGTTTGCACCATTTAGCTCTTGGCTGCTTTTCTAGACCCCCACCTCCTGCCTGGCTCCAGCCCCAATGCCACCTTCTCAGTGTGTGTTATGGCAGCCTCCCACTTCCGGAGTTAATGTTCATCTTGGCTATGGCCTAGCAAAACAAAGCATCTTTGTACGATGATTACTTGTTTACAGTCTGCAGTCACCGGTAATTTGGCCTAGGATTGACTGGGCGATTCTTCTGGTTTTGCCCGTCCACGTCCACAGAAGTACAGTTAGTGGAAAACTGGAGGAGGGCTGCTCCCTGCCCTCCTTGTTGTCTTGCCCAGCTGGACTAACTGGGATGGCCAGGATATTAGGTATCTGGACACCTCCTGAATGTTGTGTGTTGAGGTTCCTGAGGTGACAGTGTTCCAGTGTGGGGGAAAAGACTCCACCTATTAATAGATTGAACTAGAAGGCCTCTGGAGAGGAGAGTCTGGTCTCAGGCTAAGTGTCTCTATGTGTCTGGGTTTGACTACAGGAAAGAAATAGGAAAAAGAAGGTGACAGTCAGTCCTTGACAATAGTCCATACAGCTAAGCACTTGTCTGAGGACTTGGTATTACACAGGTGTTTAGTGGGTGTTTACAAGTCCTGTTGTTACATTTGCAAGATGGCTCTGAATCCGACAGCTTCTGCCTGGTGTAACTGCTGTCCATGTTGTTTATACAGCTGAATGGCCGGAGAGATCATGAGTATCTTTTCCTTCCTCTATGTATCTAAATGCATTTGTTATGTTCTATATGAACCATAGAAAAATCTCATACTGAGCAGAGATAATCATGATAAGTGAATTTTTCTTTCTTGTACATAGTGGACCAAGAAATCTACAGCAAAAAGTCAGAAAACTTAAAAATGATGCCAGCATTTAGGGAGCATCTGGACAGTTGGAAGTAGGCTGGGGAAACAGCTGACCTTAAACTTCAGGACTGTATTATGGCTAACAATGAAATCATATCCACAGCCTATTATTTATGTAATGTGAAAATCCCCAAGAACATAAAGCTAATTATAATTGTCTCAGTTCATTTAGGCTGCTACGAAATGTCATGGGTTGGGTATTTACAAACAAGTATTTATTGGGAAGTTCAAGATCAAGGCATTGGTAAATTTGATGTCTGCTCTTCAAATGTGACACCTTCCTGTGTCATATTTTCATAGCTTGCTTTCCCTAGGCCTCTTTCAAAGGGGCACTAATTCCATTTTTGAGGGCTCTGTGTTCCTAGCTTACCCACCTCTCATAGACTCTACCCCCTAATACTATCATGTGGAGGTTAAGATTTTAACATGAGGAATTTGGGGGTGGGGTTTGGAATAAGTATCATAGCGATAGCTTTAAGGGGAGAAAGGCCACCAAGAATGTATGCTGAGAAATACTACTCTGCTGGCAAAATGATGTTGGTGGGTGAGCAGGGGGACCCTAAACTAGTAAGAACTCATGTGCTTACCGAGTGAAACTCAGTGTCCGAAAGAGAAAGGTCATTGAGCAAACATTTCCCAGGGAAACCCAAATGTCTCCTCTCCCCAAACAGGGCACCCACAAAAGACCAAAGTACTATCCTATCAAAATCCAAGGCTTACCTATAGAGATGGTGAGAGGTCACTTAAAGGAGCATGGGTAGCCCCAAAGCAGCAGCACCACCAGAAAGTGGGTGACCACCCCCCCATAGATGGAGTCCCCTCTTCAGTTAGTATTCCACACTCTCTATACTCTAGCGTTTTCTGAGACCATGAGGCCGCATGAACTAAGGCAGAATTGCCTGTAGCTGGCTGAAAGTGCCGGTGGGAGAAGCTAGGATCTCGGGTCAGGGCCTAGTGACTCCCCATGTCCCCTTCTGTGAGGCTCTCAAGCAGTCACAGTTGCTCTGAGGAGGGCAAGGGCTGGTATGCTCCAACAACCACGGTGCTCTATATTATTGATAAACAGAAAAAGTCAGTGTTGACCCTAATGCCGAAAAAGAGGAAAAACCACAAGGAATTTTAATAGGAGAATCACAAGACATCTCAATCGCTTATTTAAAAAATTAGTAAGAACATATTATAAATAGTTTAAACTCAACGACAATGAACACAGAGCTGCTGTCTTTTGGAAAAGCTGCAGCTGTGGAAAGTATAAAGACTTAAACAGCCCTGTCTTGTTCTGATGGTTTGTTGGCCTGAGTTTAAAAAAAAAAAAGGTTTTTTTTTTTTTTTCTAACACTAGTGTCCTAAAGAGGTGAAATGGTAGTTCCTACCGACAGGTTGTTGCATCGTTGATGTGTTGATGGAGGGTTTGTGCTTGCAGCCTTCCTCCTGATGCCCCTGGGATTTCTGTCAGGAGTGTTTTCCACTCTTCACAAACTCTGAGTTGATAAGGCCCAGGGTATTGCTTGCCCATGGGGTGCTCGTATCAAGCATGCGGGCTTTGTCTGATGGTGGTGTTTGGTGTCAGGGTGCTTCCTGCTCCCTCGAAGCTCCCCAGACTGCTTCCCAGAGATGTTGCCTCACTCCCCTGCCTCTGGTCAGGCCAGTGCTGACAGCAGGCCCCGGCCCTACCCCACCCCAGGTTAAGGCATCTCCTTCATGCAACGTGGCTTTTCTCCTTCCCATCACTTCCTGTGGTGCCCTCTGCTGGGATTGCTGTCAGTGGCCAGTTCTGGGACTCGGTCTAGCCAGGCTTTGGTGTGTCCTTGTGGTGTGGTGTGGTGTAGTCCTTAAGCTAAGCCTTCAGAGAGTGGTGGTGTGGAGATGGCCCTGCTGTGGGCCTGTCAGCCCGGCATAGTCTAACCTCCGTCTGTCCTTGAATGCCAAGGACAGACGAACTGCAGGGGAATCTACTCTGCGAGCGGTAGATAAACTAATTTCTAAAAGGATTATGCTGGAAGCTGAAATTCTTCCTTCCTGATTCTGGGCTGCTATGGTGTGCTTTCTCTGCATCACGGTTCTAGGTTTTTATTTTTAATTTCTGTTAGAAAATCTTAAACATTAAATTCGAATAATCTAGCTTCCTATCTCAGTCCCATTGCTTTCTAGACCATATCTGCCCTTTCCACTAGAATAAAACACCTCTGAGTGGCTAGACAATACCCTACATTTTTGAAACTCGGTCACTTCCGGTGGCCCCTTGAGGTTCCATTTGCTCCAGGTTTTTATCCGAGTTTGTCTCGGAAGCCGGCTTTAATTGGCTCGACTTTCTCTGCTTCCAGAACTGCAGCTCCCATGTCAGAAGGGCAGTCGTCACCTGCTTTTCCGCAGGGTGCTGTGGTCGTCACGGAAACAGGCCTGTTCGGTACTGCAAAAGATGCCACTCCAATCACCACAATAACGAGGTGGGGGCCACGGCAGAGACTCACCTCTACCAGACCTCTCCACCCCCCATCAACACACGGGAGTGTGGGGCGGAGGAGCTGGTCTGCGCCGTGGAGGCAGTGATCAGGTAACCTCGTGGGGCTTTGAGGTTCTGCTTGCTCACACCAGAGATGGGCAAATTCACTCCAGTTCTCATGTTCTCTGCTGCCTTGCCATGATGATGTTTTAATAAAATTTATGAATTCAATAAATATTTTGATTGGATGACAATTATGTGCAAGGCCTTGTGCTAGGTACTTGGGAGACACAAGTGCCCTTCAGTTACCTAAGCGGGGACTAGAGAAACCGAAATTGTGGTAGGCTCTGGTGAGTGCAGGGGAGCAGTGGGCCAGGGAAGTGTCAGGGCAGGGAAGTGGAGGCTCCCATCAACGTGAAGGGTTGAGCCTGGGCAATATGAGCCAGGAGGAGGACTGCCCAGACCAGATGCGCCACTCTTCCTGCCTGTTAGGAAGAAGGTGCGGGAGAGCCAGGTGGCGAGGTGCTGGGGGGCACTTCCAGGCTGAGAGATTCAGATGGCCCTGGGTTCCAGACTGCTGAAGGGCTCTGTTAGATGAGGGAAAAGCAGCATTCCACACCACAACATCTAGATCTGCCCTCTTTTCAGATACTATCCAAATGCCCCCCTCCTTTTTTTTTTTTTTTTTTTTTTTTTTTTTTTTTTTTTTTTTTTTTTGAGGCAGGGTTTCTCTGTGTAGCTTTGCATTTGTCCTGGAACTCACTCTGTAGCCCAGGCTGGCCTAGAGATCCGCCTGGCTCTGCCTCCCTAGTGCTGGGATTAAAGGCGTGTGCCACCACCGCCCGGCTTCCAAATGCCCATTTTAAGGAGACTATGTCTTTTCTATTTCTTCTACCAGCGGCAAACACAGAATAGAATTACAATGACACTAAACAGCATTATAGAAAACAAAGGTCAAGATGCAGCCGTACAGTTCCGTACATTGCCTAGTTGTTGTCAATACATGCTTTGTTTATATGATCGTAGTTACAGCGAACTTATGGCTGGTTCTTTTTGAGCCAGCATTCAGTCTGCTCTTTTCATGTTGTGCTGAAGTTTGTCTTTATCACATAGTCCATATGTAAAATCCACGGGGTGGGCTGGGAAGATGGCTCGATGGGTAAGAGCATTTGCTATGCATGCATGAGGACCTGAGTCTGAATTCCAGCAACCAAGTAAAAGGCTGGGCCTGGCCACATATGCTTGTAACTGCAGCACTGGGGAGCAGAGCCAGGCAGATCCTGAAGGTGTGCTGGCCTGTCAGCCTAACCATGGTGAGCGTCCAGTTCAGCAGGGTACCCTCTAACTAGAATAAAGCAGAGAGTGCTGGAGGAAGACACCCAGGGTCCTTCTCTGGCCTTTGCAGGTGCATACACAGGTGTACATACTCATATCCCCGAGTGAATGTATACACCATAACACACACACACACACACACACACACACACACACACACACACACAGAGAGAGAGAGAGAGAGAGAGAGAGAGAGAGAGAGAGAGAGTTATAATTTATTTTTCTCTGCCATCATATATTTAGATGACTTTTTTATATTTTTTTTTTTTTTTTTTTTTTTTTGGTTTTTCGAGGCAGGGTTTCTCTGTAGCTTTGCGCCTTTCCTGGGACTCACTTGGTAGCCCAGGCTGGCCTCGAACTCGCAGAGATCCGCCTGCCTCTGCCTCCCGAGTGCTGGGATTAAAGGCGTGCGCCACCACCGCCCGGCGACTTTTTTATATTTTATAAACAACTCTGATATATTGTGGCACAAGGCTCTTGCTATATAGTCTCAGATGTGGGTTAGCTGGTCAGAAGGTTTAGATGTTTTCATAATATGTTACCAAATCGCTTTTGAAAGCATGAGTGTCAGTTTACACCACCAACAATGTGTATGAAGTCACTTGTTTTTGCTGATCCCTTGCCAACATTAGTTAATATTACTTTTTTTATCTGCTACTTGCTTAGTAGTAAGCTCAGAGAGGAACCTCTGCCTCACTTCCAGAGCCTTGAACACTAGTTGATGACTTTTCTTCCATCTGGGGGCAAATGACCAGTCTCGCCTTTCAGGGGTGGTCGGGAGCCGGAGGAAAGAGGCATTACATCAACCTCCATGTGACCAATTGGAAGAAGGAGTCTCTTGGCTTATCTTTGGGATGGTAACATAGAATAGTAAGAAAACGACACTAGGGTTTCTGGATAAATGACACGGACTTAGAGGAGGGTGGTCACAATACTGGAGTGCTCACATGGCAATTGCTCCGGATAGGCCGGAATCTGGGATGTGCTTTTCCTCTGTCTTACTTGAACTCACCCTTCTTGGGCAGTTTGTTGAAAGAAGCGGAGTTCCATGCGGAGCAGAGAGAACATGAATTGAACCGGCGGCGGCAGCTGGGCCTCTCCTCCTCCCACCACTCCCTGGACAACGCGGATTTTGATAACAAGGACGATGATAAGCATGACCAGAGGCTGCTCAGTCAATTCGGAATATGGTTCTTAGTAAGAACAAGACACCAACCACTCTTTGCTTTCCTCTTTCTCATTCTGTGTTGTATCTGATGAGGAAAGTCTCCCGTTCTTTTGAAAGGAGACAATAGTGAAGAATTAACCTTTTGAACGGAGTGGTATATCTCCCTGAGGGGTGGGGTGCAGGGAGTAGTAATTCTCAGCTCTGTTAGATTCACCCAAGAATGCTTTTGGAAAGTCACTATGTGCAGATTCCTCTCCAGATTCCTGGGAACTTTTCTTTTTAATTATAAAGAAATTTATTTTACAACCAAATTTTGGTACACATATAATTTTATCATTTATTAAAGATGAAAGAAGCTATATAATAATGAGACAGATATGCCTGTTAGTTTTTATGCAAACAACTAAATTTTGGGCGAATATTTTATACTTCAGAACGCAGAACATCTTTGAGGTTTTCAGAGTGGGTCGATATTTTAGTTTTATGATCGTCAGTGCTCACCGAATTTGTCTCTACCAAACAAGTAGGCAGCGAGACCACAGTGCCGAGGCCTTGGCCGACTGAAGTGCACCTCCCTCCCGAGACACAATGCGAGAGTTGCTAGCGCAGACTGGACAGTATGGTTCAGTATGTGGCACAGATGATTTATATCTCGTCGTTTATGTACACAAGGAATTTTTGTGTGTATTTAAGGGAGGGTCTATGTATACCAGAGGAATCGTAGTCAGGCTGTTGTAGAGTGAGGCAGCCATGCCACTCATTCAATGGAGACCAAACATGGCAAAGACCCAGCTGAATGAGTCCGTTCTGCGGCGATGCCGGCTTTCCCCCCTTGCCTGCTAGAGTCAATGATTATGTCTCCACAGCGATCACTCTCTTCTGTGCTTGCACAGTTCTGAAAAACAAAACAAAACAAAAAAGACTGCCAAACTGAGAATTAATCGTTGATTCTACATGTCTTTCTTCCAAAGACTTATTATATAGGGGCACAGTGGCTCCTTTTGTTGAAAACTCTTAGAAGGCAGGGGCAATGCTTTAATGAACTAACTAATTAATTAACTTTGTCTTCTTGGACTCTGCCAAGTGCTCAATAAAATATTGTTTCTAATGAGTAGATTTTTAAAAAATGACTTATAATATGGTAAATTGAGAGGGGCACTAGGGTATCAGAATTACTACTGATATAAGCTTTTTTTTTTTTTTAACCTGAATCTGATCTTTTGAGAACTGAAATATTTATGGATGTTTTTTCATTGAAGATATTAGTGAAATATCACTTCATGGACTTAATCTTTTGGAATTTTTTTCTAGTTCAGGTTACATAATAGAGTTACACTAGGAAAGCAATGCTTATTGGATGCTTAGGGGATGTTACTGTGGTAATCAATGCATGCCTCTAGAAAGGATCCAAGTTCTGGGCAGGTGATAATCATTTGTAACATTCTGATTTTGAATCATCTGGACCCCGCCCTACTTTTTTAAAAAAAAATTTATCTTTAAATATACTTGTAATAAGTTTGTAAAGCTTATTATTATTAAAGGAGCCTGACTGAGGTCTGTTCTGCCCACCCCAGGTAAGCCTCTGCACACCCAGTGAGAACACACCCACGGAGAGCCTGGCCCGGCTGGTGGCCATGGTATTTCAGTGGTTTCATTCCACGGCATACATGATGGACGATGAAGTTGGAAGTTTAGTGGAAAAACTAAAGCCTCAGTTTGTCACCAAGTGGCTGAAGACAGTATGTGACATCCGCTTCGATGTCATGGTCATGTGCCTTCTTCCCAAACCCATGGAGTTCGCCAGGGTAAGTGGAGGTCATTCATTTGGACTTTGCTGTGGGGAGAACTTGGGGGAAAATGCCACCTTTGACCGTCCTGCTCTCTGTGTCAACAGCCAAAGACGGTTAGTTTATCTGGGTGTGGTGGCATGTGCCTGTTATCCTAGAATTTAGGGGACTGAGGCAGGAGGATTGCTTTGAGGCCCATGATGGTTTGGGCTACACAGTGAGTACCAGGCTAGTCAGGGCTACAGTGTGGTTTGTTCTCTCAAAAATCCAAGCCAAATCTACACAAACAAACGACCAGAGTGGTTAGTATAATACCCACATCTTTGGTGATGTGCCATTTTGGCATGGTTTTGGGATGGGGAAGCATGGCATGATGCGATAATGAGGTGTCTCTAATAACTTATATGTTCATTCTTGGTGTCGCTTGTTTTTAATAAGAAAGAAATAATAACAGTTTCTATGGGATTTGGGGGCTGAGTTCTTTCCTTTGCAACCAAAGAGGAGAATTTCTGCAGCTTCATGTGTACTTCTCGATGACAGAATGGCAATGCCTCCGAGATAACTCTTTACTAAAAGCAATGGATCTTCACCTGGGCCTGCACATGCCCAGTGGGTCACTAAAAGCAGGCAAAGCGTGGCATCTCTAGCCTCATTTTCTGTATGTCCTCTTTGGGTCAGATGCCTACTTGCTCAGCTGTGCCTGTAGGCATAACAATTATTTAGCCCTCTGGGAGGGTAAAGACGCTAAGATAAAAGCAACTCAAAGGGATTTTCAATTTTCAAAATTGGTCAACCACCAATTTTTAAGGTGCCCTGTTTTCAGACCTCTGTGATGGTTCCTTGAAGTCTTCAGTAATTACTGCACACCTTCCAGGAAGAGTTGATCTTTGCAGGGGATCATCCTGTGAAGAGATAGACTGCCACCCCTCAATCAGGACAGACATCCCACGGGAAACAGGTCACCCCTGCTTCCAGCATCACAGGTCCATTAGATATATGACCTGTGAGCTAATGGAAATAGCTGCCTCCTGATTGCCTCACTCCTTCCCTCTCTTTTGGGGCAAATTTCTCAACAGGAATAATACTCTGTGTGAACAGAACTGAGATAATGGCCAACCAGACCACAGTTTGTTTGACTGAGACTGCTCCACTGTGTACACTTCACTTCCTCTTTCCTCACATCACTTCCAACTTTGCCAGGATTCCGGAAGACAGGCTTCACTTCCCTGTGTGGGCATCCTAGATATCAAACTGCTTTTTGGTCTTCAATCATTCCTTTGATTTCTGGGATGAGTGGACAGATCTGATTGGTTGGGAATCCTCCTCCACTCCAGCTGCCCTAAATCAGCTTCTCATCTAAGACTCTAGTAACAATGGGAGTCTACTCTGTGACTTTTAAAAACACCAAAAATGGTTCCTAGAACTGCCGAATGCCTGCTCCTTGTGTTGGAGGACAGGTTTCTCTCTGTCTCTCCTCTTGCTACCTTAGTGGATCACTAGTTGCAGATGCTTAGCTTGGGAAGACCCCATATTTCTTCATTACAATATAATTTGTGCCTAACCAAGAAAAGTGGAGGCCCAGAATCAGTTTTTGGCAGCAATACGTGATTTTATTTCCAAAGTATTTTCTAGGTTTTATTTTTATTTTTAATATTTTGTTTTCTTTCAAAAAGACCTTGTGATAATCTTCAGTTTAAAACTGTGCTGAAATGAGACATTTGAGGATAAATCAGAATACAGACCATCTGCAGGAGTAGCTTGGATTCCACGATCCAGATGGCTGAGCAGTTATGGGATAGGATACGCTCCGCTCATCTTTGCTGCCACCTACTGACTCATTTGTAAAATTGCATTTTTACGTGATGGACAATTTCCAGTTGTTGGATTTTCTTGTGTTGGTATGCTCCCATTATTTCTCTTCTAGGAGGCTGGTTTGATGTGATTCTGGGAGATAAGAAGATATGTTGTCAGTAAAACTTCTCCTCTTCCAAAGTGGGTCCTACAAGGGAACCAATAATGAGTTAATTAGAAGAGAATAATGAGTTAATTAGAAGAGATTTAAGATTTCCATACCAAACTCAACATGGCTCTGGCTTTTTGAAGCTAAGCACAAGAAGTGGCTTCCCTCAGAGTGGCTGAATTGTCAGGACACTCTCTTTGGAGGGGGTAAATGGATGTGCGTTTTCAAAATCCTCTGCTTTAGGCAGAGAGCTTCAGTCAGAACGTACACGATTAGGAGCCCATAAAGGGGGGCAGAGAATAGAGCTGGCCCGAGGAAACAAATCCACAAGCAGAGATCCGTGCTTGGATAGATCATGGACCTTGTTTCTGAGGGCGAGAAGCCAGGAATGGCAGTGTCTAGACAGTAGCAAAATGAGGATGTTAGCGTTACAGTGATGCTTGTTTCCTGTAAGCAACGTGAAAGTTGTGGGTATTTGGTGCATTTCCCGAGGGACTTGAACTTCTGTGGATAAATCTTTTGAAGCTTGAGTCATCCAGCATCAGCTTGTAGGCCTTGGGGCAAGACTACCCAATACTTTAAAAAAAAAAATCTTTCCTTTATTTGTTTATTGTGTGGTGGGGGGAGGGTTGTACAAGCAAAGGTATGTTGTGGAAGTCCAAGGACAACCTGTTGCAGTCCATTCTCTCCTTCTTTTACTCTGTTGGTCTGAGAGGTGGAGCTTAGCCTTGGGCATGGCAGCAAGCACCTTTAACTGCTGAGCCATCTTGTTGGCCCAAGAATACCCGATCTTAATAAGAATATGGTCAACTGAATTTAGTTCTCTGTAGATGCTGGGACAGGAGGGTGAGAGGAAATTTAGAAACAGACTATGGAGATGGCTAAGTGGTGGAATGCTTGCCATGAGGACTTGAGTTCAAAGCACTGGAACTCACATTAAAAGTCACATGTGGCCCTGTAGGCCACCTGCGACTTGGTTTTCTCAAGACAGGATTTTTCCTTGTAGCCCTGGCTTTTCTGGAACTTGCTTTGTAGACCAGGCTGGCCTCAAACTCAGAGATCTGCCAGTCTCTGCCTCCCAGGTGCTAGAATTAAAGGCGTGCACCACCACCACCCAGCTAGACCTTAGACCTATTTAAAAAAAAAAGACTGTGGCAGAACTTGAAGAGTAGAGAGAAATAGCATTCTGGACCACACTGTTGTCCATAAAGGAAAATCTGCAGTACTGAGTGTGGCAGGAGGAAGTGTGTCTCTCTGCAGACAGGAGAAACTGCACGTTGACCCAGCTTTGGAAAGGGTGACTTTTCATTGTTGGTCATCACATTAGGAGTATTACTTTGGAATCACAACTCACATGGGCTCTGGAAGTCCACAGCAGAATAGTTCAAATTCAGTCCGTGATCAATATCTGTATCTACCTGTAACTGTGTTTTTTTTCTTTCTTTGCTGTGGAGTTTAGCATGAAGTCCTCAAAAGAAGAAACACAAATGGCCAGTAAACACTTTAAAAAGTGCTCAACAGCCCCAGCCATTATGGAAATGCAAATTCAAACCTTTTTAGATTCAGTCTTTCTGGGAGTGGTAGTCTATGCCTTTAATCCCAGCAGCTAGGAGGCAGAGGCAGGTGAATCTTTGTGGTTTACAGAATGAGTTCCAGGACAGCCAAGACTACACAGAGAAACTCTGTCTTGAAAAAAAAAATCCAATCTCACCCCAGTCAGAACAGTCATCATCAGGAATATAAGTGGCAACAAATGCTGACATGGATGTGGAGAAAGGGGAACACTCATGCATTGTTGGTGGGAGTGGAAGTCCATTCGGCCTCTTTGGCAATTTGTCTTGATTGGAAATAGAATTACCATATGATACAGCTGTACCACTGCTGGGCATTTCCCCAGAGCACTTAATATCCTCCTGCAGAGACTCCCATATTCACTGATGGATTTTTTTAAAATTTTTTTGTTTTTTTTGAGACAGGGCTCACTGATGGATCTTAATGATGGCTTGAAGATTCCCACAGATCTCACCCTGAAGACCCTTGGCCTGGGACTCGTAATAGGCCTATTCCCTTCTAAGAAGTCCTTGAATATAACTGTAAGGAGTATGTTTTGTTCTTTTGCCTTTGTAGGTTGGCGGATACTGGGATAAGTCCTGTAGCACAGTGACTCAGTTAAAGGAAGGTCTCAACAGGATTCTCTGCCTGATCCCTTACAATGTGATCAGCCAGTCTGTGTGGGAGTGCATTATGCCAGAATGGCTGGAAGCCATCCGAACAGAGGTCCCTGATAACCAGTTAAAGGAATTCAGGGAAGTATTAAGGTGGGTAAGTAGTTTAATGAAGTCACTAATTGTAGCGATATCTAACACTCACAGAGCATGTACTGAATACTGGGCACTCTGCTGACTGTCTTATGTAATCTTTATAACTAACCATCCTGTGGAGTGATGTGAAGTGCTCGGATAAAATGCTGCCAGAAACTGAGCTAAGATGGGCTTGTTCTCATGGAGCAGTAAATGTCTATCATTTCCTTTGTTTATTTCCAGATACAGTTGCTGGGATATGTTGGGAAAGTATAAAGGGAAATGTCTTTAGATGCTGGGGCAGTTTCTTCTACTAAGCCCCACATGGGGATGAACACTAATGTAATGTTGTCACAACCATACAATCGTTTCTATTTAATGATGGAAACGTGCTTCTTAAAGTAGTGAAACATGTGAATGCCCGATGAGAATACAAGGTAATTAATCTAAAGGCCTTAGCTCTCTGAGGTTAGAGTTAGGAATACTTCCGTGGCACCAGTGGTCTTTGGTGTGTGCCCATCGGTCACTTACCTTTGTTGCTCTGCTTTCCAGCAAAATGTTTGACATAGAACTGTGTCCTCTGCCGTTTTCAATGGAAGAGATGTTTGGCTTTATTAGCTGCCGGTTTACAGGATACCCCTCCACCGTGCAGGAACAAGCACTACTCTGGCTTCATGTAAGTGAACGATGCCACCATTTGGAGTGGTCTTCTGGCCACCGAGCTTTAGATGCCTAGGGGAAGGAAGGGGGAAGAGCTTTTGCAGAGACTCCAAATCTTTGTGTTTATGAAAGTGTGCTGCGGGCTGGTGTCATGTGTGTGGAGATAAGTGGCTGAATTTCAGACACACGTAGCTGTAGCTGTAGTGAATAAATGTCCTCAGTAATATTACCAAACTCATAGGGCCTTTTAGGCCTTGTGTTTGGCTACGTGTCCGGGATACAGAGAAATTGCCTTTTCCTGGAAAGACTGAGAAGTACTCACGGAGAGAATGGTTTGTGCTGTCCCATCAGCCTGGGATGATTTCCTCTTCTGTCTCCATCAAAGAGCACAAACTTAATCTTTTAAAAGCCTGCCTCGCAAATTACCTCCTCTCAAGTTTTCTGTAGCTCTCAGTCTACCCAGATCCTATTCTTTCCTGTAGCATCTGACAGGCTCTCTTTGTGAATTCTCTAATAGGGTTTTTTTTTTTTTTTTTTTTTGGTTTGGTTTTCCTTCTACTTACAAACCCCTCAAGTTCAGGGACCACAGCTTATTTTTAAATTTATGGCCTAGCCAAGCCTTTCCTCCTAGCATTTGGATATGTATTTTATTTAATGAACACTCAGTTTAAAAAAAAAATGAAAATTGTGAAATTGAATACCGCCCTATGAAGTTTAAGCAGTTTCACAAAATGAGGGCAGATCCATAGTTTAACTATGATTACAGATACCTTTTTTTTTTTAAGTTTGCTTTTGTGGTGCTGGGGATCGAACTCAGGGCCTTCTGCATTGTTCTGAAGGCGTATGCTGCAACTGAAGAGAATGGATAAGATGGGGCTCAAAACTGACTCACGACAATTAGCTGTGGGAACACTTGCTGATCTCTTGCAGTATACAGTTGGATAAAGACTGGGTTAGAAACAGACTTTTTCTCATTCTTTCTTCCTTCAGGCTGACAGTGGGTAGAACGGTACCAGTCATTAAATTCAGTGAAAGTGGTGATTGTTCCCAGAAAACCATGAGGGGAGGTCTAAGAGGAGAAGAGGATGGGTTTTTTTTTCTGTATGAAGAAAGGAAACATGGACCTCCAGAAAGTTCACTGCAGAATGAGGTGTAGATGAGGTGTAGATGAAGGGCAAATAGCCCCAAAAGGATGCGAGCTTGCACCAGAAAGCAAGACAGCATGCGGTGTTCAGGTGGAGTAGGAGTGGGCCAGGGCGAGGGCTGCAATGATGCTAGTCGAGGGAAAAGGTTCCACAGAGCATGTTAGAGAGGACACAGCATCCAGGGATGCAGTGGAAAGAACACAGCAGCTCACTGGACAGTGGGAGGGGAAAATGGAAATTCCAAAGATGGCTGACGTCCTTGGTGTGAAAAAGTGAAAATGACTGTGCTCGTATGTGGGTGCTGACTGTCCTTCCATTCAGTAGTTTACATAGAGAAAAATGTTAATTTAGTTTTCTGAGTTTGAAAATTTACTTTTTTTGGGGTGTGTGTGTGTGATTTTTTTCCCCTCAGGTATTATCGGAGTTAGATATCACAGTTCCACTTCAACTCTTGATAAGTATGTTTTCTGATGGTGTTAATTCTGTCAAAGAATTGGCAAATCAAAGAAAATCAAGAGCCAATGACCTGTCAGGGAACGCCGCAGCACGAAGGGTAATTATTGCCATGACTGTTCTTGTCCTACTTGTTAAGGCGTGGGGAACCTTTGCCAGCTCTTCTGGCCTCCAAAGTAGCATCACTAGAAATCTCTTTGGGAAGATTGTATCATGTTCCATTCCATTAATCTTTTAATTACATTAAATAAGAAAACATTTGTTAAAGACAGACTTGATAGAGCCTTTAATCAGTAAGTTACTGTTTTCATTTCTTTTTAATTTAATTTTGCCTTCTCTTACCATTGAGAGATCAAGAGAGTAATTTTTTTTTCTACTTATATTCTTCCTCTGGGGTTAGGGCATTTTCCTGGTAAATAGAAATTCTTTTCTAGTTACTGGTAGATCAGTATTTCACTTTGATGGAAGAATTGGGGTGACTTTTTTTTTGTTTGTTTTGTGTTTGGGGAAGACAGGGAGACTTTAAGTGATACTGTGTTATAAATCAGCTGAGACCTTTTTATTTCATCTTTGTGGGTGAGAAAGTGCCTAAGCATGGTTGGTGTGCTTTATAACATGTCCATGGAGGACCTGAAGGAGTTTCTGTAAGTGGAGGGATGTTCTCAGACCATGAGCAGTTGCTGAGAGGTGAATGATCTCAACTCTCTGCATGACAAGGTGCTTCCCAGAATGCTCCCAAAGCCATTCCACTGACACTGGGATCAGAAACCCTAATGAGGTCATGGGATCATAGGTTATACTCAGTGCTTTTTTGAAAAGGATCATTGCTTACCTGTTTGGTAGGAACCGGTGGCCCACCTTGTTTTCTTCCTTTGGCAACTCAAAGGTTGTAGGGCAAGCTCAGGTGGCACGGCCCTGCATTCTGTGTAGTGTTAACACTGAACAACATCACAGAGTTGTAAGACCCCATCATCCTCATTTTTACAGTTGCTAAACCTTAGATCCAGTGAAGTGACACTATAAACACGCATTCTGATTCATAAGGGGTGATTGTCTTTACCTGGAACTGAATAACGTTTGCTGTGCTTCCTGATTGCTACAACGGTCCTTGCGGGATTAAATAGGAGTTGAGCATGACATGTTGGACAGGACTCCACCGCAGAATTTATCGCCCTTGGTAAAAAGGGGAGGTTCTGGTGGGGATTCTGCTGGTGGAGTTATGAGAACGGTCAAAGGCACAACAAGGATGACGAAGCACCCACAGTCAGTGCTAGCTCAGACAGAAGCCACTGTACCTGCAGGGCTGAAGGATAAGGAACTCCAGCAGCCACCGTGGAGCTGGAACTCCACTAGGTGACTGACTAAGGTCACCACAGAATGATGACCGCAGATGCACCACAGAGCAAGCAGAAGTGGCAAGAAATATCCCTTCCGCTTGCCTCTGCAGCCCTGTTCTTCCGGTGCCTACCATTGGCTGAACCCACCTGGACACCAGGCAGCAGAGGAGCCAGACGAGACACAGTAGAGAGCAGAGTAGAAAAGTGAGGACCTCAACAGGGGCTTGGGTGGGCACATGGGAAACATCCAGTGCAGCAGGTCCATTGTATCTCTTCTCATGAGTTTGATCATTATAATCTGGGGGCCATTCTAAAGTCTTTCTGATCTAGAAGTCTACATTTATCATTCTAAAAATTATCTTAACTATTTTACCTTTATAATTTCTCATTTTCAACATGTTTTCCATATTTAGTAGTTTATTCTGGCAGCATTTGATGGGATGAAAATGATGGCAGACGCCTTCATTCCTCAGGGTTCCAGTTCATTTCCAGACAGCTAATATGAAAACGTGGATGTTTTCCTTCCTTGTTTACACATTTTATGGGGAGGTTCACATGATTTTGGGAAGCCATTATGAGAGCAGGAGACACCTTCTCTAGGGTCCTCACACAGCAGCACGCAGAGCCTTTGGAGTCTCCTGAGGTCATTTGCATTTGCTGCTGTTTTTTCTTCCAGGTGAGTGTCGCCTCTGATCCTGGTCGGCGAGGTCAGCACAATATGTTGAGTCCGTTTCATAGTCCTTTCCAGAGTCCATTCCGGAGTCCCATGCGTAGTCCATTTCGTAGCCCTTTCAAGAATTTTGGACACCCAGGAGGAAGGACTATTGATTTTGACTGTGAAGATGATGACATGAATCTTAATTGTTTCATCCTGATGTTTGATCTTCTCCTAAAGCAGGTAGTGGAGCATGAGATCCCTTGAGGTTGGGCATAAGAGGACCCTGTCCTAGTGATTCCGTCTATCGGGTGGGCCTCTTTGCTCTCATTGACGTGGGGCAACATCAAGTAAGATGTTTTCAGACTCTGTGGGAGTCTCCTTAGGAGTCTAAAAGTGACTTATGTGACTATCTGCACCATCGTTGACATGTGAAAATGGATCAGAATCTTAGAAACACTGTTTTGGTTGAATAAGTTGGATGAAAAAACTGGATACTGCTATTGTTGGGAAAAGCACGGCAGACTTTTGTAGTGATGGGGATAATTTAGGTATGTTTTATAAACTGATTTCTGAAGGGAATTTTAAAGTTGAAAAGGCTCTGATGAGGAAGACATTTCCTTGTAATTTAAAAAACTGAAATTATTTTGGATTTGCAGAAAATTATAAGAATAGTCCAAAGAACCCTCAACACCCTGCTCTCAAATTTTTCAGATGTTGTTGACCCTGTTTTCTTAATTAATTGTTGTGTCCACACTTCAGAGTATATTCAAAATCAGAAAGGATTACTATCTAACTTACAGAAAATTACACTTCAGAATTAATATAACTGTCATATCTATAGTAAAACAGAAAATAAACTCAGCCGAATTTAAAACTCTATCTATCTATCTCTCATCTATCTATCTACCTATCATCTATCTACCTACCTATTATTGATTGATTGATTGATTGATTGTGTGGGGTTACCTGCATGAGTGTTTAAGAAGATATATCTTTTCAAACTCATTACTTTGTGTGATTTCACACATGTGAAAAATGTCATTTCTCACCTCCTGTCCAGAGTTTGGTTTCTAAATACTGCTCTCCAAGTAAAGGAACCAGGGTTCCTTAGACAAATGACCAGTTCCAGAGTTGAGACAAGGAAGAGTCTGGAAAAATCTCACACTGACAGAAATTAAGGAACTATTTTAGAGAAAGTGGAAGGCTCAGTGGTAGAGTTGGGTGCCTCCAAAAGCAAAACCTTGGGTTTGAGTCCCGATACCACAAACAAGAAAGAAAGAGAATGGTGTGGACGTGTTAAAAGGAAATAGAGCCAGTTTGAAGACGTTCGCACTAACCAAACATGGAGTAGCTTGAGCAACAGACTAATCAGAGCAGCAGATTATATGAGTCCACAGGCACAGGAATAATCAGATGAACAGCATGTAAGCAGTAGAGAAGGAACAAGGACTCCTCCAGTGGGATACTACACAATAACAAGTCCAGGAAAAAAGGATGGACTTGGAATGTTATCATTTTAAAGCCATTGTAATAGTGATTGATTCAGGCATGAACCATCCACCAGGTTAAATCTAGTAGCCGAGATTCTGACAAAAAACAAGAAATCACATAGATTAAGTAATAATTACAGAAGGTAAAGTGGAGCCTTCCCTTGGCATCTTCAGGAGATTCCAGAACCATCCACAGACACCATAATTCATGGATATTAAAGTTTCATATAGGAAATGACACAGGAGTTGTATACAACACTAACTAATATAACATTATATACACTCCATGCTTTGAATCATAGATCTGTTATCTGTAGCACCTAATACAATGTGAGTGTCATGTGAGTAGCTGTTACACTTCATGGTTTAGGCAAGAAAAAGATAAGTCTGTACATGCTCAGGAAAGATGCAATGGTCTTTTCCAACTATTTTTGTCCTTGGCTGTGGTTGGATATGCAGAAGTTGCACCCTGGGATACAATGCATCATTGCAATAACTTTCCTGTAGAGAGACTAATGAGATCACAAGCGCTCATCAGTAATTCTTCCCTATGCTTCCTGATATAAGGTTTTAAAAAGTGTTTAATTATGTGTGTATGTGTCTGGGTGGGGAGGCAGTGTGAGTATATGTGCTTTTGGAGTCCACAAGAGGGCACTGGGTCCTTTGCAGTTGGAGTTACAGGCAGTTGTAATCAGCCTGATGTGGGTGCTAGGAGCTTAATTCAGGTCCTCTGGAAAAGCAGCAAGTGCTCTTAAGTGCTGAGCCATCTCTACAGCCCCTGACTCTTGATATAATAACCAACTATAATAGCACATGTGTGAGCTTTCTGCCCTCTCAAATGTATGGCTCAAATCAGTTCATATGGAAAAATAAAACAAACTCTATTTGAAATACGTTTTATAAAATAGTGGGACTATATTCTCAAAACAAATCAGGGTCAGGAATAAAAAGGACCAAGGAACTATTCTAGAGAATGACTGAAGGTCTGGGGACGCGGCTCAGTGGAACAGAGCCTGCCTAGCTGTGTGAGAAGCCCTAAGTGCAATTGCCAGCACCACAGGCATGAAAAGTCACCGTCTCAACAAGCACAATGGCACCTGCCTTCAACTCCAACATGTGAGAGGATGAGACAAGAGGATTGCTGCAAGCTCAAGGTCAACCTGGTCTGCGTAGTGAGTACTGAGCCAGACAAGGCTATATAGTGAGATCGTGCTTCAGAGAGAGGGGGGGGGGGGGGACTAGAAAACGGAACAAATGAAGTAATCTTGGATTGTTCTAGAATAAAACAAACAAACCAACAAATGGCTATGGGAACTGCTCTTCCAGAGGACCCAGGTTTGAATCCAAATACATGGTGACTCAGAACCATCTGTAATGACACACATGATTTTAAGGATAATCTGTATACTTTATCTTGTATTTATACTAATTTTAGACGGGTGCTAGAAAGCAGTGTATCTTTGTTGCTTTTAAGCATATATTGTTTTAAAGTAATTTAATTATTGACAAGTACTATGCCAATAGAATCGTGGATTAAGGACCAAACTATCTTCTTTTCCTTCCTCTCTCTCTTTCTCTATGTCCTTTTGTGTGTCTTTCAGATGGAGCTACAAGATGATGGCATCACGATGGGTTTAGAGCACAGTTTGTCAAAGGACATTATTTCTATCATCAACAATGTCTTCCAGGCCCCCTGGGGGGGCTCCCACAGCTGCCAGAAGGACAAAAAGGCAAAGGAATGTAACTTATGCCAGTCTAGTATCCTTTGCTACCAGCTTGCTTGTGAACTCCTAGAGAGACTAGCACCCAAAGATGAAAGCCGTCTGGTGGTAAGCAGCTGAAGAAATGAGATGACTCATGATAAGCAAAGCCGGTGTGATGGGGATATTTAACTGATATCTAGGAAGGAGATGGGGTGCAGGATACAGATGTTTGTAAGTGGCCAAAGTTGAGTGGCAGCAGCCCTACTCACAGAGTTTTCCCAAATACAGAACATTGCTGGTATCCCTAAAGGATTTTTATCAGTCATTTACTTTTATGAAGTTTGAATGAAAATGGACATAGTACATTATACAATTAAATATAAAGTAGATTGTGTATGGATACTGATCCAAGTAATTCACCAACTTCATTAACAATGAAGGAAACCCATTCTCTCTTCTGGTTATGTTCATGTTTTGCTTTCAGGAAAAATCACATAAAGAATTGACCACTGATGGATGCCGTGCTTCAGTGACTCCGTACTTTAGCTGTTTTCTGTATAGCATATTTTAAAGGACATACATAATAGCAAAATACCCTCAGGCCATCAGAGGTAGATGACACTGAGTTATCCAAGCCACCATCTGCTGCCTTCTGCTTCTTCACCAGTTGTTTAGGGTCAAAAGTTACTTCTCTAAAAAGATCCAACACTTTCTAAAGTATCACATATCAGCAATAAAACGTGCCTTCAGCTGCAGTCTTTTGACCTTATTAGTCCTGTCTTAATATAATATTACATCTTAACACAGCCATTGGGAAGTTACTATAAAACACGCTCTCCCCCTCCCCCCTTGTTCTCTCTAACTTCTGTCTACTATCCACCACTGTGAGCTTAGACGTTTTAGATCCTTCATGCAAGTGAGAATAGGTTATGTTTGCTTGATCTGCCTCATTTATTACCATAGCATAACGTCTTCCAGGTTCATCCTTGTCAACTTAATTTAATTGAAAAGCAACCAAACCAAACCAAAACAAAACCAGTCACAGTAACAGATGGTGAGGAAATAGAGATTGAAGCCAAGAAATCTAGGTAGGGTCTGTCTGGAGGTATAGCTCAGTGACAGAGTGTCTGCCTAGCACGTACAAAGCCCTGAGTTCTATCTCCAGCACTGATAAAAACAACCAAAAAGTCCAGAGTCTTATGGGGAGCACACTTAAGTAAATGGAAAACCAGAAGCCAGTGTGACAGTATTGCAGCAAGATCTGAACAAAGTAGCTGTGGGGCCATAGAAGAGGGACCTTGAGACTAGCCTCAGGGTGATGGGACCAGGAGTCATTTGAGGGAGATGAGGCCCGAGTTTAGAGTCACAGTAAAGCTGATGACGATGAAGAGGCAGAAAAGAATTCAGACTTAGAGAATTTCACCCAGATGATGCATGGGCATTCATTTGTCAGTGGAGAAGCTCCAATCACCTTGTCAAAGGCCCACCTCAATATCACAATGGGCACAATCTCAACAGGGTTTAAATAAACTAGCACACAGCTTGAATATCCAAGAAGAGCTGCCAGACATCATGAATATTGGATCTCATTCTTAAGAGAAAGATTGGAAAGAAAGAAATGCTTTGGAGTAGTGTACTCTAATTCTGGGAAGAATCAACAATTAAGAGGGAAAAAGAGAGGAAGAGAAGACCAAAGGCAAATCCTCAAAAAGAGGCCAGAGTTGTGAGGAAAAAACCTGAGAGGCGTGGTAGCAAAGAAGCCAGGGCAGAGACAGTGCCCAACAGGAGGGAGTACTAAACCTCACATTCCGAGGAGAGGAAAAAGCAAAGTGCCCAGAGAATTCGGAAGCTGGAGGGTCCTTTGTGCCCTTGGAGATGGTGGTAGCCAGGGCATGAAGGCAGATTCCAGTAGTTGGCAGTCTGAGAACAAGCCAACTGAGTGATGTCTGTCTGAATCCTAGACATCTCTTTGGAGGATGAACTGTAAGGGAAAGAGGCCACACGGGGTTGTCCTGGGCTCTCATCCTAGTGGGTTTGGGTCACCTAAGCCAAAGAGGAAAATTAAGCATAATTAGAGAACTTGACCCATCCCAGACAACCCTTCATGTCTCTAATGTTCTCACGATGGTTGAGCCCTTAATATAAATTTGGAGATGAAGCCAAGGGTTCTGTTTTTCTTTGAAATTCAACTGGAAGAGAAGCTCTCTTGAGTAAGAGAGATATCTGTCCTGGAACATGGTCTCCACTGCCTGGACTGGCCATCTTAGGTCTCTCCTCCTCTTCCTGGGTCAAGGGGAGGACACAGGGAGATGAGCCCACAGAGGATGGGCTGGCAGAAGGCTTGGGCTAGTTTTCAAGGCAGGTAATACCAGTCCCATCACAACACCAGGTCTGTAGATTCCTGAGGCTTGTAGATATATCAGCAAACAGCCGACAACTGTCTGTGTGAAACCCAGCTTACAAAGTGACTGGCAGGCTTGTTTATAGGTGGCCTTGGAACAGAGCCAGCCACAGGAAACCTGTGAGCTGGCAAAGGTACTTTCCAGAGACCTTGATCGAGTTCATTTTCTCTGCCAGTTAAAGAATTAAAAGGCAGAAAAATTCTGCAGTGCAGCAAGTGACAGCCGGGGAAATCTCAGACACAGCAGAGAGAACCAGCAGGTAAAGGAAGGCTTCTATTAGAGGTGAGGAAACACACAATATACACTCTCCCTCCCTTCCCCTCTCTTTCTCTCTTTCACACACACACACACACACACACACACACACACACACACACACACACACACACACACAGAGACAGAGACAGAGACAGAGAGACAGAGACAGACAAGAGAGAGAGAGAGAGAGAGAGAGAGAGAGAGAGAGAGAGAGAAGGGGAAATTCATGAGGTACACATAGATAAGCAGAGAAGGGCTTGTGAGAGCTGGAGACTTCAAGGGACTTTAAGGGATCTTCCCCCTCTAATATAGGGTTGGTCAGTTTAAACAAAGATAGGAAAGCTGATGGGTCCCAAATTTTGGCATAAACATGTCCTGACCAGGCCTTGGACTTGTCCAACTGGTCCACAGCAAGGGGACCCTATTGTGGGCAAAGAAGCCCACCAGACCTTTAGGCTTTTGTCTCAGGAGTACGAGAAAAAAGTCAGAAGTTTCCCATCTTCATTATCTGTTTGTAGCCTCTCTTTCTATCTGTCTGCCTACCCACAATCTGTCTGATCCCTACCCACACTGTCAGGCACTGTCCTAGTACTACTTTCCTTCTGATGTCCTTCATTGAATCTTTGTCTATTTGTTTTGAAATGACTGTCAAATAATTCCTTAAGAACAATTGTTGGTTAAAGTGTCAGCTAGAAGGACAATTTCCAAAGAGGATATTTAAAGATAACACTGGGAAGAAAAAGGATAGAATAATTAGAGATTAGATATTTAAATAATAGTCATGCCTTATGTAGTCCTCTGCCTTGCTTACTGTAGATGTCTAAATGAGTGCCTACAGTATTCGTCCCTTGTGACTGGCTTATCTCACCTGGCATCATGCCCTCAAGCTTCCTCTGAGGTGTAGCATGCATCAGTATCTCCTTGTAAAACTTGAGTAACAAGCCATTGTGGGGATAGACATTTTGTTGATCCATCTGTTTGTTGATAGACACTTGAGTTGTACATCTTTGCTCCCTTTAACTCACACATTGCAGCAACTTCTTGCTCCTAAAACATTGATTTGTCCAAGTAGCCAGAATTGGCATTATGTCTGAAAACATTAACTCCTAAATAAGTTGTGAATGGAATACTGATCTCTGAGACTAAAGGAAGGTAGGGGGAGAGGGGCTGTGTAAGGAGATCAGGCAATATTTTCCATGTTTTTTTTTTCCTGTCTCTATTTCAAATGAAAGCAAATATTTCACCAGCCCCTGCTGCACATCTCTCAGTAGTAGGATCTCAGTGTAGGCGCAGGCTCTTCTCCTCTTGGCTAGCACAAAGTTGGGTAGAACAGGCTGACCCACTTTGGCTGACTTAAACCAAGCTGTTCTTTACGGCCCCTCACATAGCTGCTTGTATTTATTGCAGGAGCCCACAGACAGCCTTGAAGACAGCCTCCTTTCTTCCAGACCAGAGTTCATTATAGGGCCTGAGGGAGAGGAGGAGGAGAACTCAGCATCCAAGCATGGAGAGAATCCAGGCACCCGTCCAGCGCCCTCAGAACATGCTGGTAGGTGCACTTGGCTGATGGGAGTACAGAGTATACACTTCTGCTTTGTACAACTTCGGCAACTTGGAGAAGTTCAATGCTGCTTCTTTAGTGTAGACTGTACAGATAAAACATTTCCTACCACATAAGGAAGCGAACAGCTCTGTTATGGCCCCAGGGGAATGCCAGTCCCCAAGTCTCTTCCTGGCCCCAGGATCTTGTTATTAGTAAAACTCATCCTGTTGTATGGAGAGCTGATGTGAAGTTTACAGTCCGTTGTATGCTCTGTGCAGTAGTAGCTGAGAATGGCTGAGGTGGAGGATGCTAACAGTCTTAATAGCTACTTGGGGCGTGTGGTCAAAGCTGAGTGCTTTTGGATAGAGGCAACAGAACTTGTGTCCACACAGCATCTGCATCTTGGGAGACTGGCCAAGACCCTAGACAGATGTACCTTGCCTAGCTGCCCTCCAAGGCTGGTCATCCCTTCTGGCTGGGAGGACAGCTTCTTTATATTTTCTTTAAGGGCTATTGATGCATGAACTGAGGATACCAAGATTGCAGACAGATTGGAGAATCATTCCCTCACTCCTCACACTCAGACGGAGTTAAGATGTGCCCTCATGCATGGGAAAGCCTCATTCCTAGATCTGAACAGTGATACTCTGGGGGTTTATACAAGACCTGGGACAGATCTGGGCAGCCTTGAAGAATTTCTACTCCTACTGTCTTAGACTGTCTTGCTGCTGGAAGATCCACTCGAGAATCAGGAAGCATGGGCTTTGTCCTTTTGTTGATCAGCAAACACTCTTAGGGGACTGTTTTCTGTGGTTCATGATAATGACATTATCACTAAAAAATTCTTGCTATCACAAACTGCTTCTACATGGATGGATGCTATAAATGGTTAATAGACTCTGACTATCTGACTCACACTGTTTAACGCTATGAAAAATTAGAGCTGGAAGGAGGTGGGTGATGTTTTACTGGTTCTGTAATAGTAAAGGCTCTGTGTTACTTCCTCTGCAACCTCCTCCATTGGGGTGGAAATTGTGGGAAAAGGAAAGCAAATGAAGAAGCTTCTCATTCAGCTTCCACTAGCGTGATCTGCCTTTCCCTATATAAATAATTTCTATCTATCTATCTATCTATCTATCTATCTATCTATCTATCTATCTATCTATCTATCTATCTATCTTCAACAATGAAAAACCAAATTCCAGACAGGCTAAGTGACTTGCCTATGGTCCAATGGCTTATGTAATTCATTTATAATGTATACTCAATATGGATACAAAAAAAATGAACAGGACTCTAGCCTCTACCTCTGATTCTATAGTGGGCAGGGCCAGAGACTTAGGAAATCAAACACTGTAGAGTTAGTAGGGGCAGCAGCTGGAAGCCAGGCCTCCTGGTTTCTTAGAAGCAATGACCTTGCCTTATGGTTGCAGCTGCTGACACACAGGGCTGAAGTTACGTTTCTATTAAGCTTTATACCTAAAGGAATCAAGGGCTTCACTCAGGATCCAAAAGTTTATACTCTTTCTGTGGAAATAGTTTTATTTCACAGCACACACCTCAAGTAATTATCACTTCCTTTTGTTGTTTTTGAGATAGACACTCACTATGTAGGCAGAACAGGAACACACCATGGACCCCAGGTTTGGCCTTGAATTTGCATTAATTCTCCTGCCTCAGCCTTCTAATATATCGGTTCTAGGACACAGCTCTTTCTTCTCTATAAGTGCCCCAGTCCCTGATATAAAATGGGATAGTAATTGTTCGTAACTTATACATATCCTCCCATTTATTTTAATCGAGCCTCAGATTACTTGTAGTACTTAATTTTGTTTTGCAGCACTGGGGGTTGAACCTAGCGCCTTGTGCATGCTAGGCAAGGGCTCTACCGTTGAGTTACTTTAAAGCCCCATATTGTTTACAGAATAATGGCCTAAAAGAATAACAAATCTGTGTGTGTTCAGAGCAGATGCAGCCTGACTCTCCAGTGAGCCTTGCTTCATTGAGTCTGTATATGCAGAAGCTGTGGCTACAGAGGCCACGTATGAAGCTAGTATAAATTCTGCCTTTGAAAACGTTTGACCCATCCTTCCCCTCCCCCAGGTCCTACTTCAAGGCTCCTGTCACAGCCTCAGCCTGATTTCCTCCTTTGGTCTTTTGCCTCCTTGTAAAATGCAGTTATAAACTCTCTCCTGAGTATGTCTGTAATGCCTGCGCATGGGAAGCTGAGCCAGGAGAATCATAGGTTCTGAGCTGTTCTGGAGTATATTGTAAGATATGGAAAAACCAGAATAACTTACCTCTCCTGTAACATTCTCCTAGACCAATGTTCTCTGCCACTCTGAAACTGGAGCTTCTTGTACCCTGTGGTCATCAGTGGTGGTCCCTGGCTCCTATTCAAGGAACCTGGGTGCTGCATGAATGGACTCGGTGATTTCCACATCCTTTACCTGTTTCCTCTTTCTGCATTTTGCAGGAAGATATGTATTTCTTATAGATACCAGCTATGTCTATCACCAAAGCTGTATATACACTTTCACCTTAACCAAAATAGAGTTGGGCACTGATAGCAGTGTGTAAAATCCTTTGAGTAGAACAGCATCAAGAAACTGACTGATGTATCAGCCAAGACGATTTGTTGTCATTGTCTCTGACCCTAGGAATTGCCACAACATAGATTATTTTGCCCATCTTGCAGTAGTTTTAAAGAATATATAATATTTTTATGAACTCTTTGAAAACTTCTTACAATGTGTTTTGATCATATTCATCCTCACTCCTCCTAACTCCTCCCAAACCCATCCCCAACCTCCCAGTTTCTCCAACTTTTTTTTTTTTAATATTTCATAGACTCCAGTTTGTGCTGGGCATGTATTCACATGTGAGACCATCCGCTGGAGTAGGGTAGACCTACCAAGGGCCACACTCTTCCAGAAAACTGACTCTCCCCTGACCCCAAGCCATCAAATGTCAAAAGCTCCTCAGCTAGGAGTGAGGGTCTTGAGAACCCCTCCTATCTCTATGCTATAATATTCCACTAGTTTTGATATCTGGCTAACTTGTAACTCTAGCATGCCTGGATGTACACTGCAGTGTTGCCCCACCGTGGAGACAGAGGTTTTTTTTTTTTTTTTTCGAGACAGGGTTTCTCTATGCAGCTTTGCGCCTTTCCTGGAACTCACTCTGTAGTCCAGGCCAGCCTCGAACTCACAGAGATCCGCCTCCCTCTGCCTCCCAAGTGCTGGGATTAATGGCATGCGCCACCACCACCCAGCAAGACAGAGTTTGGAGAACAAGAAGAGACATCCATGAGCAGTGTTTTCATTTGGAAACGCTCATCTGTTGCAAAATGCCTTATTTGCCAGCGTGTATCATAACCTTTTCTTAGGTGGTACTCAATCTGCACCTCTCTCTTCCATGCCTTCCTATCTCCTTTTAGTTACGAGGGCACACCTTGCCAGCCCTAGGTTCCTTCACCCACAGGAGCACAGGCCGAAGCTGGGGTGGTTCAGCAGCCAAAGACACCAGGATAACGTGGAGGCTCTGCAGTGAGAAATGGAGGCTGAGAATCTTTGATTTAGAAAGTTTCCTATATTTCTTCATAGAAGGGCACATGCTAAGGGTATTCTCTCTCTCTTTTTTATACAGAATTTCACTGTGTAGTTCTAGCCATTCTGGTACTTACTATGCAGACCAGGTTGGCCTTGAACTCACAGAGATCTACCTGCCTCTGCCTCCAAGTGCTGGGATTAAAGGCGTGAGCTACCACGCCCAGTGGGCACATGGTAATATAAAAAACAAATGAAAACCTTCTACACACATGTAATGCATTTTCTACCTTTTCACCCCTCTCTGGTTTTATGATTTTGATGAACTAAAGACTGATGGGAGGAAAGGAGTGAGGCTAACCTTTGTGTAATTATTTTTCCATAGCAATAAAGAACGATACAGAGAGAAAATTTTGCTACCAACAGCTTCCAGTGACATTGAGACTAATATATACCATTTTCCAGGTAGATTTTCTGAAATATTTGAATACTTGCTTTGGCTTTGGGACTATTTGTTGTTTTGGAAAAGGCGGTAACTGTGTGTTCTTTGCATAGGAAATGGCTAAGTTTGAAGAGCCAGACATCCTTTTTAATATGCTCAATTGCCTAAAGATTCTCTGTCTGCACGGAGAGTGTTTATATACTGCGAGGAAAGACCATCCTCAATTTTTAGCCTACATTCAGGACCACATGTTAATTGCAAGGTATGTACTGTTCACATTTTTGTTTACATTTTGGGCTTCAGTTGTAAGAATTAAAGAGAGAGTATGACTTACTTTATTTCATTTGTTTTTTTCTCCCAGAACAGTAATTTGATAAAGAAACTTCCTTCCTTCCTATTTTTTTTTTTTTTAGGCATGGGGGGAGGGGGTGTTTGAGACAGAGTTTCTCCGTGTAGCCCTGGATATCCTGGAATTTGCTCTGTAGGCCAGGCTGGCCTCGAACTCAGAGATCTGCCTGAGTGCTGAGATTAAAGGCATGCACCAGCAACTGCCAAGTGTAGTTAGAGTTTTCCTGACTGGCCCACAGTCAGGACAAATCTCTGACACCCGCCAGTCCCACAGCCACTCGAACCCGACCAAGTAAACACAGAGACTTAAATTGGTTACAAACTGTATGGCCGTGGCAGGCTTCTTGCTAACTGTTCTTACAGCTTAAATTAATCCATTTCCATTAATCTATACCTTGCCACATGGCTCATGGCTTACCGGCATCTTTACATGTTGTTTCTCATCATGGCGGCTGGCAGTGTCTCTCTGACTCAGCCTTCTACTTCCCAGCTCTATTCTCCTCCTTGTCCCGCCTATACTTCCTGCCTGGCCACGGGCCAATCAGTGATTTATTTATTGACCAATCAGCAACACATTTGACATACAGACCATCCCACAGCAGCCAAGCCTGTTTTTGTTTTTGAGGCAGGGTCTCACTGTGTATCCCTAGATTGCCTGTAACTCATTAGATCAGGCTGGTCTTGAACTCACAGAGACCTACTTGCCTTTGTCTCCTGAGTGCTGAGATAAAAGGTGTGAGGGACCACACTCACCTTTACTTTCTTGTATTTTGTCTAAGTATGCCCACAGGAAGATAGCAATGTTTGCTTATTAGATTGTGTGGGGTCAGACAGGTAAAATAAGGATCGTTCTATGATTTTCGATTGTTAGGTGAATTATGAATATAGTAGATCCTAGAAAAATGCCAGTGGCGAATAATGCTGCCGAGTGTGGTTTTTGTAAGATAGTAATCTTACTTGAACTAGAGATGCTGGCGGGTACTGAACCCCTCTGGGTGCCATCAGCCTTGCTTTTAAGAGATACAGGCATTTTGAGGATAATAACAAAACAGTGCCCTAGGTGTATGGTGCTTTCTTTCTGAGACTCTTCAAATAGCTATTATAGTCTTCCTGGAGGCAAGCCAGCAAAAGATCATTTTATATGTAAGAGGATAGTCTGATCTTAAAATGGCTTGTTCATGCGTTGTAACAAAATCAAGTTGAGGCTCTGCCCTTGCTTATTTCTCATTTATTTATTCATTCAACAAATATAGTGATTTATTTTTATTTTTATTTATCATAATACTATTCTAGTACTTTGGGGATTTTTAAAATCTAGTCTGGGAAGGGATGAATAATAAATATAAGGGGTGACCAAACACTTTATTGTTTATTTTTGTGGACTTTTGGGTTCAGGAGATGGCTCAGAGGATAAAGTGCTTGCTATGTGATCATGGGGACCTTGGTTTGGATCCCCAACTATCCACATAAAAGCTAGGCATGGCATTTATAACCCCAGCGTTCTGGGAGGCAGAGATGAGTTCATCTTGTGGGCTTGCTGACCAGTTAGTCTAGCTAAAATCATGAACTGCAAGTCCATTGAGCAACCCTGTCTCAAGAAGACAGGGGAAGCAACAGAGGAAACATTTATAGACAACCTCTGGCCTTCACTCATGGGCAAATCCACCTTCACAAACATGGTTGTGCAATTGCGAACACACACACACACACACACACACACACACACACACACACACACACACACCTGCATCATTAATCAGTCTACTTTGGGAACTGAAGGAAAAGACAGCCTTATAACAATCTCCAAATGATAAACAAGAGTAGTATCTTGCGTAAACTAATACATAACTTTGTCCTGTGTACACCCCAGTCACAAATAACCCAGTGTCATGTGATAAGTGTCATGCACAGGTCACAGGTAGACATGCACCATTCTGGACCAATGATTGGGACAGGGCTCAGCAGCAGGTACATCTGAATCAGCATTATGGGACGGGATTTTAATAGGAATGTAATATAGATAGGACATATTTGGAAAGCAAGAATGTCAAGGACAAAGAGATGGGGGAGGTGCTAAAAAGGGGGGGGGCAAGAAATGGGAAACACTAGTGAGGTGATCCTAGGTTGCAGTGTGTAAGCTGTGGTTTCAGAGGAGTAAGGGACAGTGGCTGGAGAAGTGTGCCAGGGTCCAAGTGGGAGGTGTCCTGACGACAGTGACTCTCTAGTGATGGGTGGAGATCCAGAAGTAGTACAAAGTGAGCAGAGGCAGCACCCGGCTTAAACTGGAAAGTGTGAAGAAGAGAGGACCCTCTGTAAACATGTTTCCAGAACTCAGGCTGTAAAAATGTAACACAGAGCCGGGCAGTGGTGGCGCAAGCCTTTAATCTCAGCACTCGGGAGGCGGATCCAGGCGGATCTCTGAGTTGGAAGCTAGCCTGGTCTCCAAAGTGAGTTCCAGGAAAGGCGCAAAGCTACACAGAGAAACCCTGTCTCGAAAAACCAAAAAAAAAAAAAAGTAACACAGAACAGCCTTTCTCTGAAAAGTTTGTTAGTAAAGGAAGAGAAACAGGCAAGGGAGTGGATGTCAAAGACTTGGGGGGCTGATAAAGAAAGTCTGGATAGATTCACGGTCCCTGGGGAGGATTAACGGAAAACAGGCCGAAGGAGAGAATTGTGGCACCAAGTGTTAGCGGAGCCAGGCTCAGGCAGGCTGAGAGCATGATAAAGGGCCTGGTGGAGAAGGGCAGCAATGCTGGAAGGAAAGATAACTTTAGAAGCAAAGAAAAAATGTCTTCGGGGGATTTAATAGAAGATTTAAGCCTTAAGGAGAGTAAGTGTAGCAGACTTCTCCAGAGAGACAAGCTAGAGACTGGGTTGGGAGCCCCAAGAACATGGAAGAAATTATACAACAGCCAACAGGAGGGAGTCAATAAGAAATAACGAAGAACTGCCGCATCTTCAGAGCCCCGCCGAAGGGCGCTAACCCGCTTTCAGTGGGTGGTTTCAGCATTTGGATTTCTTTTTGTCTGGTGCTGAGGGGTGTAGAGGTGAAAACGTGTTCACTGGATGTACTCAGTCATGTCTCCCCTCTTCTTTCTCCCAACCTTCTATCACTCAGCCCAGCTCCACCTTAGCTTGTTAGAATAAACTAAATGTCGGCTTCTTCCTAGGTGAGCTGACCATGGGAGGTGGGTCCTTCAATCATGAAGTTTCTAAAGGAGAGACCTCTGTCTCTCAGAGTCCACACCGTGACCTGAAAAAAGGGTTCTGATAGCCTTAAGTTTGGATCATATGCCTGCTGGCTCGTAGGTTACTCACTCAGTTCAAGGCGGTGAAGTGTGTTGGTAAACCTGCTTTGTGCGTATCCTCATGACAGGAAAAGGGGGAGCCCTTGAGTGACAGTCTTGACAGTTTTTGGAAAGGCTGTCATTAGTGGACACGGAGCTATTCTTTGCCATTCAAAGAGGGGAAAGGCTACTGGGCAGAAAAAATGAAATAAACAAGGAAACTTTCTAGTTATTCACATAAGAAACAATTTTAAATCCACCTATCACACTATCATCTTTTTTTTGTTTTTGTTTTTGTTTTTTCGAGACAGGGTTTCTCTGTGTAGCTTTGCGCCTTTCCTGGAACTCTCTTTGGAGACAAGGATGACCTCGATCTCACAGAGATCCGCCTGCCTCTGCCTCCCAAGTGCTGGGATTAAAGGTGTGCACCACCACCGCCCGGCACACACTATCATCTTAATATAACTTACTTTTCTGTATTACTTAATTCATTTATATAGCTGAATTTGTAGATGGAATTAAAACTTTGTTATTTTTTTCAATATTGTTACGTAAAAGTAATTTCTTCAGAAAACATTAACAGATCTAAACACAGATGTTTGTTGGAGGATTATAGTCTTGTGGATGGGAGCCCTTTTACCCAGTACTTCCTACCATCGCCTACTGTCTACACCTACCATAAGACAGTGCTTCTCAACCTTCCTAATGCTGCAACCCTTTAATACAGTTCCTCATGTGGTGGGGACACCCCACCCATACAATTATTTTCCTTACTACTTCATAACTATAATTTTGCTACTGTTATGAATCATAATGTAAATTGATGGTCTTAGGTGACCCCTGTGAAAGGGTCATTTGACCCTCCCCCCCAAATGGATCAAGACCCACAGGTTGAGAACCACTGAGTTAAGAGACTAGACTCTTTCCTTCTGAACAAGTGGAGATGACTATAATGCCTTTGCTGCTGCTTGATTTCCCAGCCTGTGGAGAGTCGTCAAGTCTGAGTTCTCTCAGCTGTCTTCACTGGCGGTACCTCTCCTTCTTCACGCTCTGTCACTTCCTCATGGTGCTGACATATTCTGGACAATCATAAACGGCAACTTCAACAGCAAAGACTGGAAGATGAGGTTTGAAGCAGGTACTTCTCCATTGTTAAAAAATCCCCTGGGTCATAAGGTAGACCAGATGTTCAGTTTAGAAACTGTTGTTTTGGGCTTCATTCCTGATATTTAAAATCTCCATGTAGGAGCCCCAAGTTTACTTTTTTCTTATGGGGTTCAGTTCTTATGAGACCTAACTAGATGTCAATACATGGCCAGTGTGATGGTGCAAGGGCTGGTAAAGGTACTTGCCCCAAGTCTGAGGAGCTGAGCTGAGTCCTCTGGGACCACATGGTGGAAGGAGAGAACCATCTCCCACAGTTGTTTTCTGATCTCCTCACATGCTCTGTGTCACATACATGCCTCACCTGCAAGTAAATAAGTGAAATAGTATTTTAAATAAGTAAGTGTAAATTTTTTTCAATATATGTTAGTATATACACTTATACCTCTTGTCCTCTGTATTTTATATTGCAGTGGAAAAAGTAGCTGTCATTTGTAGGTTTTTGGATATTCACTCAGTGACCAAAAACCACCTGCTGAAGTACTCACTAGCACATGCCTTCTGCTGCTTTCTGACAGCTGTGGAGGATGTCAACCCCGCAGTGGCCACCAGAGCAGGTCTCCTGCTCGACACCATAAAGAGGCCAGCCCTGCAGGTGATGGGGGATGTGTGTTCTCTGATAATGTTGTCTGTCAACATTATCAACTCATTGACTTTGTCACTGTCTTGTTTAGCTGTGCTCCATCAAAATACCATAAACGGGGTGGCTCATAAAACCATAGAAATTTATGTAGTGTAATCCTGGAGTCTGGGAGGTCCATGATCAAGGCGCTTGTAGATTCAGTGTCTGGTAAGGGCTACTTTCTGGTTCATAGATGATGCCTTTAACTATGGCTGGGCCTTTGTTTAAGGACAAGAATCCTATTTGTGAGGAATCTAGCCACATGGCTTTGTCGTCTCCCCCAAACTCTCTTTCTAATGTTATCACATAAGTGGTTGAGTTTCAGCATAATGAACCTTTTAGCGGAGTGGACACAAACATTCAGACTATAGCACCATGCAAACTCGTGATATTGGTGATGGTGGTAGCAGAGATCTGTGTGTGTTCCAATGTGTGCTTGTTCTGTTATAATGAAAACAAGGAGAGATCTATTTTACCCCAGACTCTCCCAGAACCATATCTTATTAAAGGTAGCTTGTTTTATTTACTGATACAACTTTTTTAAATGTTTTTTTTCCACATGCTGATAAAATCTGTAGACACATGTAATTGTTGTATGTGGCAGGAAGTCGAGGAGCACATTTTCTAAAGTAGGCTGGTTCATTCCGTACTATCCAGTTGGCCTCTGGCCTGGAGCTGCTGTTAGAGGCTAGATGCTAAATGGAATCGAAGTGAAGTACAATAGGGTAAGAATACCACCACACGAAATATCGTGAATCAAAACCAAAGAGACATAGTAGAGGTGACCTGGAGAGGGTTGTGATTTATCTTCTGTGATAACCTTCTACTGTAATAAGAAAGCAAACCTCAGAGAGATGATAGGACTTAGCAAAGGGCACACAGTGCATTAGTGCCAGCCAGGACTAGGGTCTCTACTGTTCTTCTACATTGATACTGGTTTGAATTTTATTGTTCTTATCAAAACTGATAACAATAGCAAGAGCTAACATTTGCCAGGCAAGTACTCCATTGCCAGGGAGGGGTAGGGGTGTCCTGTCATGCAGGACCTCCCTTAACCCTCAGAATAGCTTTTTGTATGTTCCCATGGTTACTTTTGGGGAAGCTGGAGGTTGGGAAGGCAAAGTCCAGTTTTCAGAGTCATGACCCTGAAACAGACTCCAGTTTGACTAGTAATAAAGCCCATGTTCTTAACTTTTTCTCCTTTCTCCCTTCTTTTTCTCTCCCTTACTGTCTTCCCTCATTCTCTCTAGTAGAAAGAGTTTTCATTTGTTGTAAGACCAAGCAAGAAGAAAGAATCATCTGTGTAGGATCTGGATCTGGCTGTGCTGCCCAAGGCACACTGTGCCTATGAAACTCAGCTGTCCTCTAGATAGTTCTTCCCAGTTGACTTTCCAGGCAGTTGATAACCTTCCTTTGCTTAGGGCTACTCATTAAGTGATGGTAGCATGGATGAACGGGATGGCTGGATAAGTTACATTTTTAAATTTAAATAAGTTTAAAAGAAAAGGTCATTGACTAAAGAAATAGATGTTCCATCCTGTCTTAAGTTAGTGTTCTATTGCTGTGAAAAGACACCATGGCCAACTCTTATAAAGGAAAATATTTAATTGGGACTGGCTTACAGTTCAGAGATTTAGTCCAGTATTATCACGGCAGGGAACATGGCAGTGTGCAGGCAGACATGGTGCTGGAGAGGTAACTGAAAGTTCTATATCCGGATCCTCCGGCAGCAGAAAGGGACAGTGAGACACTAGGCCTAGATTGAGCTTCTGACACCTTGAAGCCCACCCCCAGTGACACACTTCCTCCAACAAGGACACACCTACTCCAAGGCCACACACACACACACACACACACACACACACACAAATAGAATAAAATATAATGGTGAAAGTATGCTTCTCAGTAAAAGATACAGATATTTGAAAGAAGCACTGGTATTTGGAATAAGTGGATGTTATTTAGTATTTAGAAAATAAGTGGCATACATTTAGTTGATATTTCTGGACCAAATTGAAGAGGTATTCTGAAATCAGGAGAAACTCTCTTGTGCATTTCCCCCCTTTCAATACTTGTGATCAGAAAGATTCCAGACGGGTAATTTTGCTTTGGGGAATATTGCCTTGTTCCATCGACTACCTGGTGTACATTCTTTGACGGCTCTTAGATGTTTGTCTGATCCCTCTTTTCCAGGGTCTCTGTCTCTGCCTTGACTTCCAGTTTGACACTGTAGTTAAAGACCGACCCACCATCCTGAGCAAGCTTTTACTCTTGCATTTCCTTAAGCAAGATATTCCTGCTTTGAGCTGGGAGTTCTTTGTCAACAGATTTGAGACACTTTCTTTAGAAGCTCAGCTACACTTGGATTGTAACAAAGAATTTCCTTTTCCTACAAGTAAGTGAGACAAAAGACTTGCTGTAAGCAGTCCCAGCACCATTTTTTTTCTTTTTCTTTTTTTGCTAAGTAAGTAGATGACACTTGGCATGTAGCTTGTTTTCCACATGAAAGAGAATGTCTTGACCTCATGTACTCAGTTCCTCAACTGTTGAGTGCTTATGATGCTAATCTGTAGATTTAATATGTTACGGTGGTCTCAGATGTGAATTTCTCTCACTTTCTGGAGGACACATAGTAACCATCTGTGAATGTCTTAAGTATTAAGTAGTTATTATGTTGATTATATCTGTGAATAGTTTTGTGAGGCACATTTGTACTGTGCAAACTCCCATCTGCTTATTATTCAGTTGCTTGTGGCTCTAAATTTATGAGCAAAACATAACAAAATTAGATAATCAAACCTCATGAATTAAACAGGAAAATGATAGTCATGATAGAGAGTAGTCATGATTTTTTACGGTAAGACACGTCATGGTCTTAGAGGGCGGTGAATGATTCATGCACACATGAACGATGTCTTCTTATCCTGAAACTCAGATGGGTTATTTAAAAAAAGCTGAATCACATGGCCAGCCAAGGAGAAGAATAACGTCTTTCATTCTTTTTGCAAAGCCATCACTGCTGTGAGAACCAACGTTGCCAACCTCAGTGATGCTGCGTTGTGGAAAATCAAGAGGGCACGCTTTGCAAGAAACCGTCAGAAGAGCGTGCGGTCTCTGAGGGACAGCGTTAAGGGGCCCGCAGAATCCAAGAGGGCACTCTCCCTCCCTGAGACCCTGACTTCCAAAATCCGTTGAGTATCTTCCTTCTTCCTCCTGTGATGTCTGCTTAATGTCTTTCTGAGCTAACGTGTCTTGTCAAATGTTCACAGAAAGTAGCACAGTTTGCAAACTGAGCCTGTCCATCAAGGTTGGCCCTCAAAGTCTTGGGAAAAATCACCCCATTGACGTAAAAGTCACGGGTGGCTTTCTCTAGTTTGTGGGTGCAAAATCTAGACTGGTATAGCAATAGTTATGAAATATAGAGGGAAGCAGATCCAGTGCTGCTTGGTGGGAGCCTTAGAGGAGACGTTGATTTTTGCGTGTTAGACTACAATTCAAGGCTGACCAGCAGGGCAGCCTGGGAACCTGGGGCTTTCTGAATGAGACTTAGATAACAAAAGCCATGCAGCTAAAGGGGCAGTGTTCAAACTTTGAATGATTGTCATTTTATGAGTGCTAGGAGCAACCACATAAGCCTCCAGAAAAACCAGTAAAAATGGTGGCTTTTGCAAAAGAAAAATCATGCTGAAGAGAAGTTGGATTTCTACTCAACTTCAGATAACTTATAAATGTAAATAAGCTTTTTGTCTATTTAAAAAGACCATACACATTTATTTTATAAAGGTCTTTATATTATATTTTTGAAGAGAGTACACTTCCTTAAATAACCAAATGACTGGATAAATACTAGTGTTTAACAGCAGCACATAAGTGGCAAATAATAAAGCCTGCAGAACTAAATCACTATGGATGAATGAGTATATTTAGATGATTTAATCTTAAATAACACCCATGAAGTGAACACCTTAAGCACACTTCTCCTGTCCAAAGCAGAAAGATTTGCATTTTCATTGGCATTTATTAGAGAACAGCTTTATATAACATAATCATGTTAATCATAAATATGATTTGATTTTCTTTGCTACGTTTTTCTTTTTTATGACAAGCTCTGAGTATGTGGTATTTTGAATCTTAGAAGAGTCGGTTGAAAGCCTTTAAAGTAATTAATAGCCTTAGCTTCTTAGGGAGCAAAGTGAATCACACTGAGGAATAATTCATAGTGGCCCTGGGAGAAGCTGCTGCTAGATGGAGGGCGCCTACCCTAAGTTAAATTAACTGCAACTTTTATATCAGTTTTCCAGCCCTTTAATAACCTAACTGATGAGTTTGGGGTATTCATTTTATTTATCGGTATTCCTTATTATTAATTCACACAGCCTCTTTGATGCTTTTAGAATCCAAATAACATTAAGGGGTTTTCTTGAGATCAGAAACAAAACACAGACATTTTGGAGTAAACATCTTTTATGTGATGTTAATTACAAATAAGAAAACTAAGCTTGCTTCTGCTATCCAGAGCAGCCAGCACTGAGTATTTTTCTAGGCTCAACTTGTGTTTAATGCTTATTTAAATAGAGTTGTTGTTGATTTTTAAGCTGTGAGGTTGACCAGGCATGAGCAGTCTGCTCCAGCTCTCGGTGGGACACCTGAACAGACGCCAGGTGGGTACTTCTGACGTTGAAGGGCCGTGCACAAGTGTCTTTATCATAGGTTCCCAAGGTAAAGAACGCAGTGTTTCTCACTGGACCAGAGTGATGTTAGGATTTGTGAGCCTCAAAAGGGTCTCATTCTCAATGCTCAAGTGTCTGAACTGCTGGTGTGCCAAATCTTTACATCGTTTTCTAAGCAGATGGTTTCTGATCCCATTGACTCTTGGTCCAGTAAGAAGCATCTAATTGCCCACCTCCCCACAGACAGCAGGTGTGATTAGGATTGTGCTCCTTGCTACTATATGACTTATGTTTGTATGTGTAAGTTACACATAGAAACACTGTGTTCGTAGGTAAGAGTTTTCTTTAGGTAAAACATACACTTCATTTGCATTTTGAAAGGTTTTATGTTTGAACCACCATCTGCTCATCCTCGTAGCTGCTCTTATTCCTTGCAAGTCTGTGCATTTCTGTCCCTTGGGAGCATTTCCGTTGTTTGGAGGATTTGAAGGTCTTTTTTAGGGTGACATAGCGTAACTTATCATGTCACATTCCTTATTGTGTTATAACTTAGCATGAAGTATCCCAAGTGTTGAGCAGATATTGGCAAGGACATTACTAACTGAATGCTGTCCACACAGTGCCAACATTCACTGAGAGGACTGTGAGTTTCTGAACATCTGCATGTCTGGCACATCAACCTCAGTGACTCACCTATGTATCGTTCTACAAACATTTGGATTTTTATTTGAGTATGACTTTAAATTAAAACTTTTTAGAGTGGTATTGACTGACACTCTGAGAAAAGATTTAAATAAGGAGACTTTGAAGATCATGAGTATTGCACATTAGAAAACAGACACTCAAAACACAGAAATTCAGGAGTTGGAGAGATGAAAAGGTCCCAGAGACTGTGAATACAGGAAGTAGATGGGGCAAAAAAGTCTCCTTTCTTTTTTGAAAGGGATCTAAAGATACAGAATGGCAAACATGTGGCTGAGTCCCTCTTTGATTTATACCTGTCTCTTCTTTGAGGAGAGAGAGAAGAGAGGGGAATTTATAAGAACTTCTGATCTAGTGGCACCCAGTGTCATTAGAAAGGGAGATCTGGGCTGGAGAGATGGATCAGTGGTTAAGAGCATTGGCTGCTCTTGCAGAGGACCCAGGTTCAATACCCAGCACCCACACGATGGTTCACAATTGTCTGTAACTCCAATTCTATGGGATCTGATACACTCTTCTGGCCTCTTAGGGCACCAGGCATAGGCCACATACAGTGCACTTATATACCTGTAGGCAAAGAATTCATACACATAAAAAATAAATAAATCTTCTAAAGAAAGAAAGGTGAGGTCCATCTGGTTCCCCTTTAGTGAAGCCTTTTGGAGAAAATTCTTAGGCAGTTTTATATATTTCCTCCATTTTATCTTGAGGCTGGTCTTTTGGTCCACACTTCTTGAAAGTCCAGTCTTTGTTTATTATTATCTATTTAAACAATTCAACCAAAGGAGCCCCTCACATCTCTGTAGGAAAATGTCCACGTGTTTGCTGAGGTTAAGAAAGTCTCAAGCAGCGCATCATCCCGCCAAGGACCAGGTGGCAAGAGGCAGACAGCATCTGTGTTTAAAAAGACTTGTGTGGAGAGAACCCACGTGATAACAGGGCAGGGAAAACTTGCCTAGCTTGGTAGCAGTTGGCCTAGCTCTTAAGGCATATGGAACTACTGTTGCATCTTTAAATTATCCTTGCCAGGATCCTGATGTTTTTCACTTGGAAGCGAAGGAATGCTCCATCAGAAGACGGAGCAGGGTAGAGGGAAACAGAAGAGCTTGCTGCTTAACAAACAGACTTCTGTTTAGTCTGGTCAGTGAGCCCCTCTGTGCAGACTGGCTAGTGATTAGGCCTGACATAAACCAGGTGTGGTTTAATTATGCAGTAAAGAGCTTTCTAGTTGGTGTTTAGGCTGAACTCTGGGGCTCTGGGTTTACAGTGTATGATTTTCTAAGATTAGCCTTTCCATAGGACTTACAGCCAATAAAGCAGAAGGTTTCTATAGATAGACAGTATATCCTGCAAGGCCTGTAGAAAGCTGCATTCCTCTGTAATGTATGGGAGCCAAACCAAATCTTTTGTGCATATAAATAATACTCATGGAGTGTGATAGCTAACATTGGGGGTGCCCTAACATTCCCGTTGCATAGGAGAAGAAACTGAGTTTCTCATAAAGGGATAGATGTCACAGATTTGTTGGTGACAGACCTGGGTCTCACACCCAGAGTTCCTGAACTCCCTATTTCTATGGCATATGTGGCCAGTGCACGCAGGAACTCATTCTGATGTCAGACTCCATAACTGCTGGCCTGACATTTGTGCAGTTATGTAAGGTGTATTTTCACTAATACTGTGAGCACCTCAGCTTTGTGTGTCTACAATGCCCACTGAAGGTTAGTGGGGTGCATGGTTCACAAGGTCTATAAGCTCGATCGATACTGAATGAACAGTGCCAACCACATGAATATAAAATGCTCAGTCCTACCGTGTTTATCATCCCCTGAGATGAATAACTGGAAAGTAAGAGGATATAAACATATTTCATACATGTTTTATGTCTCTTCACCTATAGTGTATTTACACAAATGCCTAACTTTTACTTTACCGAACCTTTGGGTACATGTAAGTTTTTTTTTTTTTTTCCACTCTATGTACAGACAAGAAAACTGAACCATTGTAGTATTCCATAATTCTGCTTAGTGATTGGCTTAAGATCACATCAGTTTGGAACATGACTAGTAGTTGTACACACAAGACTCGGCTGCTTGCTTTCCACTACAGGAGGGGCCTCCTGATGTTGGCTCTGTGGGCTTCGGCCTCGTAGCACATGAGGACATTGATCTGCTTGACCTGGTATTCAGGCCTGCTACAGTGTCCATATAAAAGTCCTTTCCCAGGCTGCGTCAGTCCTCTCAGAGCATGCGTTCTTCCAGCCGGTAGAGAAATTTGGAAATCTCCTTACTCATACTTACACTTAAAAGAAAAGCTGCTTCATGCTAGTTAGAACTGGTGAAAGTGTCTTGCATTGGCCTGTCCTGCTTCCTCTTTAGTGGCCTAGCCTGGAATTTCAAACAACTTCTCTGAGCTCTCTTGTCCTGCAGATGATTTACTATTCAGCTCACTTACTTGCAAAGTGCCTGTTGACCACTAAGGTACCAGTTGTTTCTATAGGAACGCTTGTGTTTACAATAATAGTTTTGAGAAGTACCTTTTACTGAACAAACTTTTCTCCATCTACTCTACCAGGAAGCACAGAGCACAAAGATCCAGAGAGATGTTTACCATCTCAACTTGCTTATAGGCAAGTAAGGGGCATAAATGTGACCATCAGAGAGTGCTTAGTTGGAGCGAAAGTGCTACTCATCAGATGCAGCAGGAGGGCACTTCATCAGCTGAAGCCACAGGGGGCTTTCCATCCAGGTTTTCACGGGTGGACACTGCCATAGTTTGTCTTCAGTTGCTGTGATAAAACACCGTGCCTGAACACATGGGAAGAAAGGATTGACTTCATCTTACAGCTTACAGTCCATCATGAAGGGAAGTCAGGGTAGGAACTCAAGGCAGGAACCTAGAAGCAGGAACTGAAGCAGAGGCCATGGAGGAGTGCTGCTCACTGGCTTGCTCCCCATCATCTAGGACTACCTATCCAGGGATGGCACCACCCACAGTGGGCTGGAGCATCCCACATCAATCATTAATCAAGAAGATGCCCCACAGACTTATCTACAGGAATCTGATGGGGGCATTTTCTCAGATGAGAGACACTCTTCTAAAATGACTCCAGCTTGTGTCAAGTTGACAAACAAACAAACAAACAAACAACAAAACAAAATAAAAACCCATAACCAGGACAGAGTATAAACACATGGTGATAGGACACAGGCTAGGATGAGGCAAGAGCAGGATGGAGGAGCGTGTGAACTATGAGGTCAGCTTCCCAGCCCTTCTGCAGTAGTAGGAACACACACACACACACACACACACACACACACACATTGGAACTGCTATGAGAAAGGTTTAAGTTGACACATAAGTGAGGAAATAAGATTGGAATGTAGCATTTGACCTTGAATTTTCTGGGCCAAATGTAGGAACAAACTCATGGAAATGGTCTCCACTTTCCCTGCCTGATTGTCACGCATTATCTTGAAAGAAAGGTCAGTGAGTCAGTTCATACAGAGGCATGTTCCCACATTATTTTTTCTGTTTTGGGACCTCAATTTTTCTCTTATATAGAAGACAAGAGCTGGAATATTATATTAGACACTTGTGAACATTAAATATCTACTACATGTGGGATAGCATCCTGTGCTCTGTGAAGGCTGCTAAGATGGATAAGACATAGCACATACCTCCAAGTCATGTATGTATTTACAAGGAAAATAAACAATGGATAGATAAAGTTCTGCCTTGCATAAAAGATATTTGGGAAATGCTAAAGGAAAATTTCCTCTTTTTTTCCTGCCTCTAGCTCCCCTCTTTTCGTATCTTTGAAACACAACAGAATATAGGGACCATGTCCAATTACTGGGGGGAGTGTGGGTGGGCATAGGGATAAGAATGGCTTCTGGGAAGTAGATTCATCGCACAAAACACGGGAGTGGATGGACCGAGATCACTGTGAGCAAAGATGAGGGTGGGCTAGCATTGGCTCTTCTGAAATCCATAAGTAGCCCAGCTTGGGGGAGTGCTGAGCATTCGGGCAAGTGGAGGATGGGAGGGCTAGGAGATACATCTGGAAAAAGCAGATTCTACCTAGTGCCAATAACCTGAATCTGTGATGTTGTATTCTGCTTCAGAGTTTCAGTCAGTTACTCCACTCCGTGAACGAGCTGTGGAGAACCCAGTCCACACTAAATTATGGTAGACTAGCTCTGCCTCCAGAATTACAATGATGTCTATACTTGCATTTACGGAAATAAAGTCAAACCTTTTAACATGAATCACTATGGTTAAGGAAGATAAAGGAAAAAACACATATATTAGTATTGAAAACTAACGGGTGCTCTAATTGTCATGCCTTTAGTTGTAGGTATTTGGTTTTAAAATGGAAATTGTACATCTTTTATAGATCATTCAAGTAGTAATAAATAACAGCCCATCCAGTTTGTACAGTTTATTTTTTATAGGGATTTGACCTGGGTCAGTTTCCCTTAAGAAGTGTGTGTCTGTCATAAGTCCACTCTATTCTAATGGAAGATGATGAGCTAAATGCAGACTTGCAATGTCCAGGGTGAGAGGGGCAGATTAATGGAATAAGAAATAGTGTTTTACTATATGCACGGGGATAAGTACATTCAATGACTTGTTAAGGGTCTCTCGTTATGACTGTTGAGGGAAGGCAGACTAAAAGCAGCAAGCATCACTCCGAAGCACTGATCACTGAAATGAGGACACATATGAAATGATATTCAGTTATTAAAAAATACCATTTGCTGGGAATTAAAAAAAAATCACGCCCCTTGTAATAGGAAGGAGAGTTTTGAACTAGTTAAGATGGAGTTTGATGAGTTGTTTTCTCGCCTGTGACTTGAGACAGAATGAGATGGAGGCAGGACTCTCTCTATTCTGATGTCCCTAGAGTATTAGGACTAAGATCAAAGTAGTTACACCATCCCTGCTTCCATTTAGGAGTCAAATTATGCTAGACATGAAGGAACCAGGCAGGCCTGAGAGATGCGTGCTCTTCTAAAGCCTGCACCCCAGAGCTAAAAGAAATTGAGTGCTGAAACCCTGCCCCAGCAGGATTGCCTGCTACTGTAGTGACATTGGACCCACATGGAACCTAGATGCATGCACTTGTCACACCTTTTTTTTAAACCAATTTACCTGAAGCAATAGTATTATTCTAATTGTAAAATAATACCCCAGAAGGGGGAAATCAAAAGTAGTTTTTAAAAATATGTATTTTCTACTTATGTGTGTGTGTATACCTGCTTGTTTACATGTGCACCACATGTGTGTAGGTGCCTTAGAGGCCAGAAGAGGGAGCTAGAGTCTCTGGGTCTGAAGTCACAGGGGCCTGTGAACTGCATGGTGTGGATGCTAGGAACTGAACCCCTGTCCTCTGCAAGAGCAGCTAGTGCTCTTAACTGATGAGCCAAATCTCTAACCCCACAAAGTAGACAGTTTTTTTTCAACTTTTTAATGATAAAAAGAGTTCTCTCTCACTAGTGGTGGTGGCACACACCTTTAATCCCAGTGCTTGGGAGGCAGAGGCAGACAGATCTCTGAGTTTGAGGTCAGCCTGGTCTATAGAGTGAGTTCCAGAACAGCCCGGGCTACAAAAAAAAAAAAAAAAAAAAAAAAAAAAAATCAAAAACAAAAAACAAAACAACAAAAATCAAAACCAAGCCGGGCGGTGGTGGCGCATGCCTTTAATCCCAGCACTCGGGAGGCAGAGCCAGGCGGATCTCTGTGAGTTCGAGGCCAGCCTGGGCTACCAAGTGAGTCCCAGGAAAGGCGCAAAGCTACACAGAGAAACCCTGTCTCGAAAAACCAAAAAAAAAAAAAAAAAAAAAAAAATCAAAACCAAAAAGATAAAAGAGTTCTCTCTATATGTGTGTGTTTTGTTTTTCAGAGATTTACATAAGAATTGCTTTTGATCAAATCTTACAAACATTCAGTTTAACTGTAATATGGGATGAAATTGGACCTTTCTGGTCTTTCATTGAAATAAGGTGTTCCACATAATTTGATTCATGATAAATACCTCAGTATAATGATGCTATGGATTATTCATGTGTGAAACAAATTCTTAGGTGCTTTAAAAATGATTTTAATGGGGAAAATTCCTAAGGCATGTTGCATGTATGCATATTGCATGTATGCATGCCTTTGTGGACAGACTGATGAGACAGAAAATGTTAATGTCTTGGGGCCATAATGACAAGTGTCAGAAGGTTCCCCTTAGACTTAGTTGGTTCTGCATGCTCTTGACCTTCAACTACCTCCTCCTCGTATATCTGTGGGTAGATCAACATCCTTCTGAAGACACAGGGAAAGTAGCTGACCAAGTTTGCTACCACCTACGCAGGCCATGTTGACGTGTAATTGGTAACTTGATTCAGCATTACTTTATGCCACTTTCCCAGAGCGAAGTGGTCATTAAAAAGATTGGTGCCACTGTCCCAGAGAGAAGTGGCCGTTAGACAGATTGGTGCCACTGTCCCAGAGCGAAGTGGCCGTTAGACAGATTGGTGCCACTGTCCCACAGTAAAGTGGCCATTAGACAGACCAGTTCTGCAGTATAAGGAAACAATGCTTCTATTTTGCTTCTCTTCGTGGGACCCTGAAAGACAGAATTTGCCAAATTAACTGAGGCACTAGTGGATATAGATCACTCCCTGGATCTCTGTTGCATCATTTTTTACATCAAAATTTACATAATTTGCATAATTATAATAGATGCAACCAAGGCTAGGTTTGTGAAAGTTTGCGCCCAGTGCTTGTTCTCACTCTGCTGGACTTTTCCTTGCATGAAGAGATGAGGATGCTCGTGTCCAGCTCTAATAACCTACTACATAAAAACTTAAATTTAATTTTAATTTAGAAATTCTACTCGTTTGTCAAAAGGACAGGCTGCAGAGTGCTTTGAAAAATCTCCCAAACATAAATAAATACAGGAGAGTAAATAAGATTCTTCCTTCCCTGGAAGTCCTAAACCAAACCACCGAGTGGAAGAGGTGGGGCAGGCTAGAAGGCCTGTGTGCGGCTCAGGTAAAACCAGGAGTTTAAGAGGAAGCCAAGGACTAGGGTGCTTTTTCTTCCATGTGACCTCTCAGCTCACCTTGTGGTGTTTTTTTATTTTGCTTTGTTTTTTAATGTTTTTGAGAGCTCTCTCTCCTTCCCCTCTGTGTCTCATTACATACTGCAGGACTTATCATTGGCCATTTGTAATTCAAAGGCTACACACTGCTGAATCTCTCAACATTTGGAAAAAAACATTATTTTGCCACAGCTGACTCATGAACATTATTGGATTGAGACAATAATTTAAATAAAATCCCCCAGTGGATCTTTTTATGCTTAGTGAAATTTAGCCTCTTATTCTGGGGTTTATCTTAAACACAGTGTACAAACTGGACAGAGCCTTCTCTGTCCCCATCACTGAGGATACAACTTTGCCACTGTACTAAGAATTGCTAAGTGCAAAGTTTGTTAGCTATTTGTCTAATTTGAGGATAGTGTTGCTGTATAGTTCTTCAGTTTTACTTCCATTCCTGTCTCACTCCTGAGTAACTTGCTTAATGATGGAGACAGTAGCTACCACCCCCAGGAATGACGTTTTGCTTAGGAGCCATATTGAGCCTTCCCTTTCTCGTCTAGAACAGAACTTTTACGTGCGTAGTAGGAGCAGAAAGGAGGGAAATTTGTCAATGTCAGGTGACAGCTTGATGTGAACTCGAATGAGGGGACATAACTGCACGCTGACTGTGTTCCTTCCACTGACAGGACAACAGTCTCCTGAGAACGACAACACCATCAAGGACTTGCTCCCAGAAGATGCTGGCATTGACCACCAGACAGTTCACCAGCTGATTACAGTGCTCATGAAGTTCATGGCCAAGGATGAGAGCAGTGCTGAGTCAGACATTAGCAGTGCAAAGGCCTTCAACACGGTCAAGAGGCACCTCTACGTCTTACTCGGCTACGACCAACAGGAAGGCTGCTTCATGATTGCACCCCAAAAAATGCGCCTGTCAACGTGCTTTAATGCATTTATTGCAGGAATTGCCCAAGTAAGTGTAATAGTGCTTCCAGGAATCTTGTCACGGGTTTTGATAGAAACAAGGTATTCCATTCCATTTAGATAATGTTGCGTGTAAAAGATTGTTGAAATTATTTGGTATTAGGCAGGAGTCTGTAAAGGGGAGTATAAAGATGGAGTAGAGATTAGTAGCTTTGTATTATAAAGGAAATGTTTTTAAAATATATGTAACACAATATTAAAGCACTTTAAGTGTACAATGGCAATACGATAGCACAGTCAGTGAGATGCCCGTGGAACAAGCATAAGAAACCTGTGTTCAGTCTTCAAGGCCCAAGTGGAAAGCAAAACATAGTAGTGTGCATCTCTAACCCCAGCACTGGGGCAGTGGAGACGGAAGTGTGCATCTCTAACCCCAGCACTGGACAGTGGAGACGGAAGTGTGCATCTCTAACCCCAGCACTGGGGCAGTGGAGATGGAAGTGTGCATCTCTAACCCTGGTGCTGGAGCAGTGGAGATGGAAGTGTGCATCTCTAACCCTGGTGCTGGAGCAGTGGAGACGGAAGTGTGTATCTCTAACCCTGGTGCTGGAGCAGTGGAGACGGAAGTGTGTATCTCTAACCCCAGCACTGGGGCAGTGGAGACAGAAGTGTGCATCTATAACACTGGTGCTGGGGCAGTGGAGACAGAAGTGTGTATCTATAACCCTGGTTCTGGGGTGGTGGAGATGGAAGTGTGCATCTCTAACCCCACTGCTGGGGCAGTGGAGACGGAAGTGTGCATCTCTAACCCTGTTTCTGGGGTGGTGGAGATGGAAGTGTGCATCTCAAACCCCAGCGCTGGGGCAGTGGAGACAGAGAAGTTCCTGGAGCTCATTGCCTAGCCAGCCTATGTAATTGGTGTACTCCAAATTCGATGAGAGATCCTGTCTAATCTTGCAAGTTGCAGAAATATGAAGTAGGAAAGAATAAGGTGGAGAGAGGCTGAGGAAGACACCTGACATTGTCTGTGGCCTAGGTCTGCACACACTTGCATACATATGCATGATTGTGTGCACTTGTATAAATATTTGCACATTCACAAACATGTACACCTCATACACCCTTTCAGAAAATGTGTATAAATATGTACACACACACACACACACACACACACACACACACACACACACACCATGTACTCACACACACAAATTTTTTTAAAAAAGAACATTTGTATTATTACGCAGTCACTACCACTATCCATTTCTTTTTTGGATTTTCTCGAGACAGGGTTTCTCCGTGTAGTTTCGGTGCCTGTCCTGGATCTTGCTCTGTAGACAAGGCTGGCTTCGAACTCACAGAGATCCACCTGGCTCTGCCTCCCAAGTGCTGGGATTAAAAGCATGCGCCACTACCGCCCGGCAACTATCCATTTCTTAGCCCTTTCATCTTCTTAAATTAAAACTCTATACCCAGTAAACCATGAGAGGATAAACCTTTTTTTTGTTTGTTTGTTCAAATACTCTTCTCCTTGGGCCCAGATGGAGAGAACTGAGTTAATGTAATGTGTTTCACATTGCACCGTCACCCTTGGTTTCTCCGTGTGTGTCTGCTGTGTTATGTGCCGTGGTGGACGTCACCTGCATGCTTTCTGTCTGGTGATGCGCTCTGGACTCCTTACTGCACCAGTATAGCAACTCAGCTCAGCAATGGACATCCTTGTACAGACCTCACTGACCATCCTGATCACTGCTTTGGGATATGAGTCATGGAGGAGAATTACTGGATCATGGGCTCTGTGGCTAATTAGACCGGTGCTAGAAATCTCACTTTCATGATTGGCTGCAGCAGTTTGCACAGGTGTGGAAAGGTGTGGGTGTAGAGCTCAGCTTTTACCATTGTTATTAGTTTATGTCCGTGTGCATCTTATGCTTGCTTTCTTGCTGGTAATAGATTTTTTTTTTTTTTTGAGGATAGGGAGATTAGAGTTAACACATTTTTTTTAATTAAAATTTTTCATTTATTTTGCATATCAACCACGGTTTCCCCTCCCTCCTCTCTTCCTGTTCCCTCCCCCTACCTCCTGCCTATCCCCCACTCCCATCCACTCCTCCTCCATTCCCATGGGAGTCAACAAAGCATCTCATATCACCTTGAGGCAGGGCCAAGCTCCTCCCCCTGCATCAAGGCTGAGCGAGGCATCCCACCATAGGGAATAGGTTCCAAAAAGCCAGCTCATGCTCCAGGGACAGGTCCTGATCCCACTGCTAGGGGCCCCACAAACAGACCAAGCTACACAACTGTCACACACATGCAGAGGGCCTGGGTCGGTCCCATGCAGGCTTCCTAGCTGTTGATCCAGTCTGTGAGCTCCCATTAGCTCAAGTCAGCTTTCTCTGTGGGTTTCCCCACCATGATACTGACCCTGCTTGTTCATACAATCCCTCCTCTCTTCCATCAACTGGACCCCTGGAGCTTGGCCCAGTGCTTGGCTGTGAATCTCTGCATCTGCTTCCATCAGTTACTGGATGAATGCTCTCTGATGACAAATAGGATAGTCACCAGTCTGATTACAAGAGGCCAGTTCAGGCACTGTCTCCACTATTGCTAGGAGTCTTAGCTAAGGTCATCCTTGTGGATTCCTGGGAGTTTCCCTGGCACCAGATTTCTCCCTAACCCCCAAATGGTCCCCTCTATCAAGATATCTCTTTTATTACTCTCCCCCTCTGTCCCGCCCCCAACTTGACCAACCCAATCCCTCATGTTCCTATCTCTCCATCCCTCCACCCCCATTCTGCCCCCAGTTTACCCAGGAGATCTCATCTATTTCCCTTTCCCAGGGAAATCCATGCATCCCTCCTAGGGTCCTCTTTGTTACCTAGCTTCTCCGGGGCTCTGGATTGTAGCCTGGTTATCCTTTGCTTTACATCTAATATCCACTTATGAGTGAGTACATACTGTGTTTGCCTTTCTGGGTCTGGGTTACCCCACTCAGGATGATTTTTTCTAGTTTCATCCATTTGCCTGCAAATTTCATGATGTCATTGTTTTTTTTTACTGCTGAGTAAAACTCTATTGTGTAAATGTACCACATTTTCTTTATCCATTCTTCCATTGAGGGGCATCTAGCTTGTTTCCAGGTTTTGGCTATTATGAATAATGCTGCTATGAACATAGTTGAGCAAGTGTCCTTGTGATATGATTGAGCATCCTTTGGGTATATGCCAAAGATTGGTATAGCGGGGTTTTGAGGTCGATTGATTCCCAATTTTCTGAGAAATCACCATACTGATTTCCAAAGTGACTGTACAAGTTTGCACTCCCACCAGCAGTGGAGAAGTGTTCCCCTTACTCTACACCCTCTTCAATATAGGCTGTCATTAGCATTTTGATCTTAGCTATTCTGACAGATGTAAGATGGTATCTCAGAGTAGTTTTGATTTGTATTTCCCTAATAGTTAAGGATGTTGAACAATTCTTTAAGTGTTTCTCAGCCATTTGAGATTATTCTGTTGAGACTTCTCTGTTTGAATCTGTACCTCATTTTTTAATTGGATTGTTTGATATTTTGATGTCTAGTTTCTTGAGTTCTTTATATATTTTGGAGATCAGCCCTCTGTCAGATGTGGAGTTGGTGAAGATATTTTCCCATTTTGTAGGCTGCCATATTGTCTTATTAACAGTGTCCTTTGCCTTACAGAAGCTTTTCAGTTTCAGGAGGTCCCATTTATTAATTGTTGATCTCAGCATCTGTGCTACTGGTGTTATATTCAGGAAGTTGTCTCCTGTGCCAATGCATTCAAGGCTATTTCCTACTTTCTTTTCTATCAGGTTCAGTGTAACTGGATTTATGTTGAGATCTTTGGTCCACTTGGACTTGAGTTTTGTGCATGATGATAGATATGAATCTATTTGCATTCTTCTACATGCGAACATTCAGTTATGCCAGCACCATTTGTTGAAGATGCTTTCTTTTTTCCATTGTGTAATTTTGACTTCTTTTTAAAAAATCAGGCATTCATAAATATGTGGATTTACATCAGGGTCTTCAATCTGATTCCATTGATCCATGTGTCTGCTTCTATGCCAATACCATGTAGTTTTTTTTTTTACTATAGCTCTATAGGAGAGCTTGAAATCAGGGATGATGATACCTCCAGAAGTTCCTTTATTATACAGAATTGTTTTAGCTATGCTGAGTTTTTTGTTTTTCCATATACAGTTGAGTATTGTTCTTTCGAGGTCCATGAAGAATTGTGTTGGAATTTTGATGGGGATTGTATTGAATCTGCAGATTGCTTTTGGTAAGACTGCCATTTTTACTCTGTTAATCCTACTGATCCATGAGCATGGGAGATCTTTCCATTTTCTGATATCTTCTTAAATTTCTTTCTTCAAGTTCTTGTCATGCAAGTCTTTCACTTGTTTGGTTAGAGTTACTCCAAGATATTTTATATTATTTGTGGCTATTATGAAGGGTGTTGTTTCTCTGATTTCTTACTCAGCCCATTTATCATTTGTATATAGGAAAACTATTGATTTTTTTGAGTTAATCTTGTATCCATCCACATTACCTAAGGTGTTTACCAGCTGTAGGGGTTCCTTAGTATAACTTTTGGGGTCACTTATATATACTATCATATCATCTCCAAATAGTAAAAGTTTGACTTCTTTCTTTCCAATTTGTATCCCCTTGATCTCCTTTTATTGTCTTATTGCTCTAGCTAGAACTTGAGTTACTATATTGAATAAATATGGAGAGAGTGGACAGCCTTGTTTTGTTCCTGATTTTAGTGGAATTGCTTTGAGTTTCTCTCCATTTAATTTGATATTGGCTGTCAGCTTGCTGTATATTGTTTTTATTATGTTTAGGTGTGTTCCTTGTATCCCTGATCTTTCCAAGACCCTTATCATGAAGGGGTGTTGGATTTTGTCAAAGGCTTTTTCAGCATCCAAGGAGATGATCATGTGGTTTTTTTTCTTTCAATTTGTTTATATGGTGGATTACATTGACAGATTTTCATATGTTGAACCATCCCTGCATCTCTG